TCAACCGAAACTACTGTGTGTACCCAGCAACGTTACACACCACATCACGACTACAGGACCACCTGTATTCTCTAAAGCACGACGACTAGCCCCTGAAAAGCTAAGGTTGGCGAAAAACGAGTTCGATCACATGATAGACTTAGGAATCATACGACCGTCAAATAGCCCATATGCATCTCCGTTGCACATGGTCCCTAAAAAGAACAGCAACGATTGGCGTTCAACTGGTGACTATCGGCGATTGAATGCGAAAACCATTCCCGATGGTTACGCGTTGCCTCACATTCACGATTTGACAGCTACTTTGAAAGGTACAACTGTCTTTTCGAAAATCGACTTGGTTAAAGCGTATAACCAAATTCCCATGGCCACAGATGACATACCGAAAACCGCCATCATTAATCCCTTCGGACTCTATGAATTTTTGCGAGTGCCTTTCGGTCTAAGGAATGCTGCTCAAACATTCCAAAGATTCATAGACGACGTTTTTCGAAGTCTCAACTTCGTACACGCGTATGTTGATGACTGTCTAATCGCAAGTCCGGACAGAGAATCACATCTCAAGCATCTGGATCTTGTTTTCGAACGACTACAAAAACATGGCATTACTGTAAACGTTCAGAAATGCCTAATCGGAGCTGAATCATTAGACTTCCTAGGACACACTATAGATGCTCAAAGCATTCGACCCCTTAGAACCAAGTGGCGGCAATTCTGGATAATCCAGAACCGACTACGATCAAGCAACTACGAACGTTTAACGGCCTTGTAAGTTTCTATAGACGATTCATACCGAAATGCGCGTTGCTCATGAAACCTCTGACCGACCAACTTCGTGGAAATGCGAAATCCATTCGTTTGGACGACAACGCACGAAAAGCATTCTCCACAGTTAAGGAACTGATTGCTAAAGCAACAATGCTCGCACATCAGGACACCCGAGCACCCATTAGCATCACAGTAGACGCATCCGACTCGGCAATCGGAGGAGTCTTACAACAATGGGTTAACAACTCCTGGCAACCCTTGGCATTTTTCTCTAGACGGTTGCTAGACACCGAATCGAGGTACAGCACATTCGGTAGGGAACTCCTAGCTATGTATTGTGCTGTACGGCATTTCCAACACTACATCGAAGGTCGTGAATTCACTCTTTTCACTGACCATAAACCACTCACCTTCTCTCTAAGCTCTACTTCAGACAAGTACTCTCCCCATGAGTCTCGACAACTGGACTACATTTCGCAGTTTACTTCAGACATTCAACACATCTCTAGAGCAAATAATGTAGTTGCAGACGCTTTGTCTCACACAACTTCCTTGAACAGTTTCCAAGGAATCGACCTTCCTAAACTCGCCGAGCTTCGAAAAGAAGACACTGATCTTCAGCACGAGTTATCGACCACAACCCTCAAGTTACGTATCAAACAGATGGGAACAGGTAAGAAAACCTTACTGTGTGACACATCTACAGGTAGGGATCGCCCAATCGTGCCGAAACGTTATCGACGCAACGTCTTCAATACGTTGCACAGACTTTCTCACCCAGGTGTTCGTGCAACCATCAAGCTTATAGCAGAACGGTTTCGCTGGCCTGGCATGAATAAAGACATGAGGGAGTGGGCACGCTCCTGTGTAAGCTGCCGAAAATCTAAGGTTATCAGACACAATAAATCCCCCTTAGGCTCGTTTAAAACTCCCGATGCTCGTTTCGACCATGTTCATCTGGATTTGGTAGGACCTTTACCAGATTCAAATGGATACTCTAACCTCTTAACCTGCGTAGACCGTTTCACTCGATGGCCAGAAGCATTACCTATCAAGGACACTACTGCTGAAACAGTGGCTCGCGCCTTCGTCGAACGATGGGTAGCAAACTTCCGCTGCCTTTCAACCATCACTACAGATCGCGGACGGCCGTTTGAATCTGAACTTTTCCGTCGTCTGACCACACGTTTAGGAATCACTCGCTTCCCAACGACGGCCTACTACTCACAAGCAAACGGGTTAGTAGAACGCTTTCACCGACAACTGAAAGCTTCACTATCAGCTGCAAACATTTCACGGTGTAGTGACGCTCTTCCACTTGTCTTACTAGGTATCTGCAATGCAGTGAAAGCTGACATTGGATACACTGCGGCTCAACTCGTTTATGGAACGACACTTCGACTTCCAGGAGAATTCGTGGATCCTTCGTCTTCAATAAACATGGATCTAACCTCCTACACGAACAGGCTTACAAACGCAATGCGTTCAGTTAAACCTGCTTCCACTCGACCTCAATCAACTGATGTTTTCGTTCAACCTGACTTACGATATAGTACACACGTTTTCGTTCGTCGAGACTCGCATCGACGACCATCCGAATCAGCATACGACGGACCTTTCAAAGTTCTTCAACGTGAATCTAAGTACTATATAATCGATAAGAACGGAACCAACGATAGCATCAGCATCGATCGCTTAAAATCAGCGTATTTAGAAGGAAATCCCATTCACGTCGACTTTCCTTCGGTACAATCGCACAACGCGACTCCTACACTAATAGTTCCTCAACCGACAACCAACACTAGCGATGATACTCCGAATGTATCTGAAAATAAACGTAAAACGACGCGTTCTGGAAGAAGAGTAAGATTTCCAGCACATTTAAACGACTACTGCACGTAAGGCACTACTCGACATTTTATATTATCTCGATCTTTCTTTTTAACGATATATAATTTTTTTTTAAAAAAAGACAATTTTATTATGCCTATATATTTATATTTTTATTTAAAAAAAAACAAAACATAAAAAACATTTTTTTTAACACTATTACGTGTGCTTGAGTATATTTTCCATTTTTTCGCCGACATTGTGTTTTTACGCACATACAAGTGTGTTTCGACATGCACTTACACTTTCTTTTTTCTTTTCCAGGACGACTGGAAAAGAACTATGCAGTTTACGAGGAGTCGAAAATTTCGTTGTAACTCTTTCTTTTTTTACTATGTTGTACCTCGGTCCCATATAGTAAGGAAAGACGACCAGACGCTGCTACACTCAGTAAGCTACCAGAAGAGTGTTTACCAACGACAAACTCGTTGGGTTTAAACTTCTGGCTGGCCACGTCTCAGGGTCGTCACTGCCCCACTAGGGGGGAGTGATCTGTAGCGGTAAATAAATCCCCAAAATAAATAGCTCTGTAAGTTTTCGACATTGGATGCTGACCATATGTTTTAGTGGACTCATCTAGCTGAAGGCGCTCGGTCAGGCATCCGCACCAGATCACGTGTGGTAACGCCGTGCTCAACATCAACCGCAATCGCTAGCCAGATTAGATCAGAGAATTCCGATATATTGGTCATCGCCAAATACACTCTTCCGATCTCCTCGACTCTGTCTTTTGATTTCTCTGGGTGGGAACGAAATACATTAGAAGGTGTTACTGGTAGAAGCGTTGTCAAACACTGAATACCTGTGACATCATCAGACAAATTTACGTGGTGGTTCTTGCTTATTTTGCTTTGCAAACCTTGGATAAAATTGACAAATTTTATGCGACATAGGTTCCTTCCTGGAGGTATTGGTGATCTACTGCTACTAGACACGGAAGCTTGTTAAGCGAAAACTTCTTCTATTCCGTCCACAACCATTTGAACCATTTGAGATCATGTACATTCTTATTCTGTTTACAAATGCACATTCCTTTTCATTTTCTGTTTCCTTACACTCTCGCAGCAGATAAGAATAGCATACATTAACGACATAGATCGAGTAAAATCTCATTCTTACTACTAAAGACTGAAGATTGGAATTATTCCAAACATCCGAGCAACGATGAAGTAGTCATTCCTGAAACAAATACCATTACTCTTGATATACTCTTAGTGATTTATTATAGGATCTCATCCTACATATCTAGCAAAACTTTTATCTGCCCTTATTATCATATATCTGGGTCCTTACCTAAAAAAACATCTTGATCCGTTTGTCAAACATGAGGACATTTAAGATTCGTCCTTTGGAGAGTTGCAATTTCAGGTCGCTGCGCTACATGGGCAGAAAGCATGGTCTTGGACGCTCTCTTGTTAAACATATGGGATCAGAACTTTCTGAAAGATCAGTTAGTCTTATAGTCAGTTATATCTATAAAAAAGGGGCGTCACGTAGTTCGAACAAACAGTGATCGGGACTGGTCTCGTCTACCTGTTCATTCAGTCACAGAACAAACAGGTTTAGATGAATTCTTTAGTATTGCCAACCTTGCCAATCATGAATTCAAAGCTCGTAAGACTTTTAACCCTCCTCATATCGTTTTTAGAGAAAAAGAACATCAGGTTTCTCACCCCATCCGAAATTATAGGCATACCATCTCCCGCCGACCGCTCTAAAATTTCAGAAGTCCAGAATATGTATAAAGACTTTCTCAAAATACCCAGAAGTTAAGTGAATATTTATTTATGTGTGTGTTGAGTGGGGTGTTTGTTTACCTTTTTAATTCATGTGAGCTGCTTTAAAATCTACCTAATTGGTTGCTGATAATGTTTTTACTAGTTTCAGGTCTCATAAATTCTATCTCGTTAGATAAAGTTAACTTTGCCAAAGTATTTCTCATTACTGTTGGGGAATAGTAAAAATGAGTTGTTGACTTGAAAAAGTTCTGTTTGGTTTAGTCTTTAGAGGTTTAACTTTCTATCGATTTTGCTTTTGTATGTTAAGGTAAGTAGACGCAAGAGACACACATGTTTCTGAATGCCTAAAGATCACTAATAATGTGCAATTGTTTCATTAGGTATGTTGCGTTGCAAGGGTATTGGAGAATAACTAAGTCGGTGAATAAGCTTCCATGATTTGATATGTCACTTACTGGTAAAAAAATTATTCAGCAAATTTATTCTTCATTCATTTAGTAACCTATTAATATTCAGATCGTTTTGCATAGGATTATTTCCAAACAAAAGGGTTCCACCGCTTGATTTTTATTTGCTTCCTACAGACCTAAGTGGAGTCCAGAAATGTCAGTTGATACGTTGGATAGTCTTGAAAAGGAAGAATTCTTGAAATGGAGACGGTCATTGGCTTTGTGAGTTTATCTTATTATAGACCAGGATTTGTCATTTTTTCCTTAGAGATGTGTAGTTTTTTCGAGAAACAAGCTTGATAAAAGTTTGTTTTTTTATTAACATCAGGTTGGTATATTCCCATCATTGTTGAGTAATAGGAAACGTTATCCTAAGATTTTGTTGGCAACTAAGTTACTGTTGTTTATGAATAATGTTAATGCTTATTTAATTATAAACAGGCGTAACTTAGTTTCCGAAAAAATGAGGTATGGAAACTTGGACCGATGCATATATGTACCCGGTCTCACGTGGTAGATGACTGGATAACTCATACTTATTTAAAAACCTGTTCATGGACATGATGTATGGGATGATTTTGGTACTTTTATTATGAACACTTGACCTTTTCCAACTATCTTGAAAAGTTGAACTACCATTTGTATTGTAGGCTTGAAGAAAAAGACGGCATCGTTCTTACTCCTTTTGAGCGGAATTTGGAGTTCTGGCGTCAGTTGTGGCGTGTCGTGGAACGTAGCGACGTTGTTGTTCAGGTGGTCGATGCTCGTCAACCTCTTTTATATTATTCGAGTGATTTAGATAGTTATGTTCATGAAGTTGATTCGAACAAGACATCTGTGGTTCTTGTTAATAAGTCTGACTTTCTTACAAATCAACAAAGGTGAGTTTATCCATTGTGTCTTCTTGGGTCATATATGCTAAAAGAATGAGCGGTAATTAAAATCTTTTTAGTTCATCTGCATTATCTGACCTTTAAAATTTTGTACACATTTTGGTTCAGTTGTTAACAACGTTCAAGTGAATCTTATTAGTAGTGTATTTAATATTTACAGAGCAGACGCAAGACAATAAGATAACTTCTAAGCAAAAATAGTGCTTAAATCAAAGTTTTTATTTATTATACTTTCCGAACACTTGATGTCTAATTTTTCCTTCCCCTAAATAATAATATTTCTAAGAAAACTATTGGATGAGTTAAGTGTCAGAACTTATAAATGCTACATAATGACTATAAGTTTTAGGGACGTTACAGGACAACTGGTGGTATATTCGGTCTCTTCTTTAAAAAAGGATGTGTAATTTTACCGATTTACAATGCACAAAAACTAATCTAGTTCATTACCTATTCAAAGGTTTTTCCAAATATGGCTTGTCTTGAATTTTTACTATTCCATATTTTTGTATTGTTATTACTTATTTAATGTTATCTCAATCAAATCTACAATTCACATTTAAACCGAATGAGTTGTTGTATATGTCAAGTGTCATGTTATGCTTTCTTTTGTTATCGTAATGATTCTTGATATTTGTAGGAAACATTTAAGTTATTCAATTTGGGTATCACTACAAGCTTGATTGATAAGCTCACTAAGCTTTTGGGAATGATTTTCAACTCTTTACTAGTGTATGTGGATACCGTTGCTTTAAACATTTGTCTATTGAAGGTGGCATATTGTTATTGCACAAACGCACTACTGAGTTTACAAAAACTTATTTTGCTAATTACTTTACGTAATGACAGTAGTTGCTTTTTTCTGAACTTATAGAATACTACGATCTATGTATCACAAATGTATGATTGCTAACAATAACATAAGCATTGCTTTAATTTGGAACAACAGACGGTTGTTATTTCGTGTTTACGTATCTTCTTGTACTGTCTTTCTATAGTGAATAACTGGTTCCTGCTTTGAATGTGTTCATTTAGGATTTCCGATGTTTTTTTTTTAATTTTATTACAGAGCTTTATGGGCGGAGTATTTTAGAACTATTGGTATTAACGCCATATTTTGGTCGGCTGTACTAGCCAGTGAACAGATGCTAGGACAAAGTCCTAACAATATGACCCAACCTTGTGATATTTCAACCAAAATAATTAATGGAACCAGTTTGGAATCCGAGAGTAATTCTGAGGAAAGTCAAACCGAGTCAGACACTGATAGTGAGGCCAGTACAGTAACTATTCATGAAGAAACTAATGAGGAAAGCCCTAAGGTTGTCAGATGCACTACACAGTTGCCGAATAGACTGGATTGTAAAAAAAGTGATCCTTGTGATAGTACAGTCAATACAAAAGAAATCAGTAAACCGATTTCCGAGTTCTCTTCCAATTCTGTTAGATGCGATGTTATTGATGCTGAAACATCTGCTCAATCCAAGTACGTTAGCCACTAAGATGTAAAAACGTCTATGTATAAACTATGTTATTATAAGTTATTATAAGGTACATTCTATTTCTTTTATTGATTTTCTCACTTACGACGCATTAGTTCCTTATTGTGTAGTTGGAAATGAAGGCAATTAATTTCACTTATTTCTGAAAATCTGCGTTAAAGTTGTAGGAACGAAAGTGGTACTAAGTTAGAAATATTGATGAATTAAGGTTAATTCAATATGCAATATTTTAAAGTACAAATTGTATGCGATGTGTATACATAGATAACCTTTAGTTTATTGTTCAGCCTGTCGTATCGATCCCGAATTTCTCTCAAAGTGGTTCAAAATGAGATCTCGTCATATTCTTCCTGAAACACAGTTATATCCATTGTTCACCAGCATAACTCCCTCCTACTTTGCCTCTTCTCGTGAATCAAATATCTACGTTACTTTCATATTAAACAGTTTCCTGCTTTTGGCACTGATGTAAATAAATAACGGAGCTGTTAGTTTTATTAAGTGGACCGACGCATATATGTGTCTGGCTGACTTTATTAAGTGGTGATATAAATGAGTTGGGACACTATCTTCTGTAGATTTTGTTTAGTCTGGTAAGTTAGGGTGTAGTTCAGTCATTTTATGGATCATTGTATATGAATCATGGTCGGTCGTGTTTCCTACCATTTATATTGTTCATTGTCTTTCCTCGCCTTTGTATTACCGTAATATTGTCGAGTCACTTCATTTATAATGTACATCGTCTCTATGCTGTGCGAAACAAATATTTCAAGTAAACTAACCACTGAACATAATTTTCTATCTTTGTGTTACTTGTGAGTGATAGTTTTAGTCTTCCATCAAATCGAATTATGTGCTATAAATCCATCTGGCAAACTTTAGCATCATAGAAAGTCACGAGAAGACAACAACTATATACCACAAAACTGTTGGTTCATTCTTCTACCAGCTAGATATTCAGGAGGTGTGGTTTGGGAACTGATATGATGCTTATATTCACACAAATAATTTGGCACAGTATTCAGTAGCTTGTCTTACAGAAACTCATAATTCACTAGTCTTAGGCTGGTATCTGCCTTCAACTCAGGTTACTTCGAACTGTAATCATTTCCCCTTCTCTCACTAGTTATTTACACGTATTTTAGTTCTATTGTCTACACGAAAATTGAAATTCAGTACGCTCCTTTGTAAACCAGTTTATAGTTTTATCCAAAGAGTCTAGTTCACAGTGTACATCTGAGAAAATATTGTTAAAAACGTCCTGTTTGTAAATTCATCTTTATTTTTTCTACTAAGTAGACAAAATGGTGAGGCGGGAGCTAAGGTTGTTGGAGTTGAGGAGCTAATAAATTTGTTAACCGAAAAATTCAGTCCCTCCAGTCGTCAATCAAAGGATCCTTTGACAGTTGGCTTCATTGGTTACCCAAACGTTGGGAAATCAAGTACACTCAACGCGATACTAGGTCATAAAAAGGTTCCGGTGTCAGTTACACCTGGGAAAACCAAACATTTCCAGGTAGATGTTTTATGCTCATTTTTATCCGCGGTGACAGAAAAATTCATTATTTTGATGTTATGAATGAATTAATTTCTTTTCTTGGCTTTTAGACCATTTATGTTCGATCAGACTTGATACTTTGCGATTGCCCGGGATTGGTGATGCCATCTTTTGCTTACTCTAGAGCGGACTTAGTTGTAGCTGGCATATTATCAATCGATGAGATGCGTGATTATTTAGCTCCTGTTGGTTTAGTAAGTAAACTTTCCATGTATCATACCATATTTAAAGAATATGTTTTCACACGGTTCTTGTGGTAGCTGTTATAATCTCTTTCTTACGGTTATGACCCAGCTATTCTTGTTGCTTAGTATTCTCGGACACTGATTCACTCGACAAGTCCCCAAATCAGAACACGGTTGAACAGGAAAGAGATTATATTCCAAATAACAAATTTAGATGGAAGAAGCAAGTAAGTAAGTAATAGGGAAAACGTTAGTATATTTATAGTTTTCCACATGAGATTTCTACAGTGTTCACTAAGTATTGGCTAACGCTGGTTGGACAAGAATTAGCCAATCAGCGTGCACCGAAACAATCATGCATTGAACATGCTTTAATCCAGTCTATGTCCCGCTAACAGTAGCATTAGATTGTACTTTGATAGAATTCGAGAAATGAGTTGCATTTTATTTTGAACTCATTACGTAAATGTTTTGAGAGCCCAGTGTTAGTATTCCCTGTAGGACTTCCAAGTAGTTCAGTCCTAGACATCGAAAACGAACAGAAAGTAAATAGCCCAATAAAATGGGGGCTGGTAATGTTGTCTTTAGGGATCATGAAATCGGAATAAACCATCTAGCTTATAGGACTCAGCTTCACTAAAAGTGTTCTGTGATACAATTATTATCCGTCACTTGAAGACATTCAAATACTTATAACTTGTAGTATAAGCTGTTAGCTTGTTGGTTGATCATATAATAATACATACGGTTATTATAACTATCAATAAGTCTGTAAAGCTAATTCTTCTGAGGTGGTCAGGATGTGTCACTTATTATTGGCTTTCACAAATGAGGCTGGTATAGGAGTAGCTGGAGTAGATCAGAATTGATGAGTTAAAGACATCCTGTTTGTATGTGAAACCTTTAATTAACTGTTTAAGTTGGGTAGGGAAGTATAAATTTTTTACTTATGCCGTGCTAGGTTACCGAAACTTGTGGTGGGCGGATTTTTGTAACATAACGTAGGTTACAGCAGCGTAAAATTAGCCAATGTTTGTCTCACTGATAACAACGGTATACTTTTAATATCCAAATTAGTGGAAAATTTAATTTCCTAACGTCTAGTGACTCATTGTAAGGCATTTCTTCGGAGAATATGTATATCTTCTTTACCGTAGTCATTTTATTATTTCAAAACTTTTATATCACGTTTCACCTTTTTTTCTAATCCTTTAGTTATTTGATATCATCATTATTTTCACTCCTTTGACCTTTCTCTTGCTGATGTACTCTAAATGTGCTAATATTAAGTATATCGACTCAAAATGTTGCACATTTTTGCCAAATTATGTGCTGTTTTTATGTGAGATAATGATAACTATTATAAAAAAGTAAGTATTGAGGAAATTACTTAAATGTAACTTATTTTGTATCAAAGAATGATGCTCTAGCTTTAAGATGATAAAATGTGTTGCCCTTCTTGAAAATAAATCATTCTTCGATTTTGTTTATAACTGGGTTTCTCATTGAAATTCACATCAAGACTGACAAAATCAGTAGCTAAATGCCTTATATAAATTAAATTCATCGAATTTTGAAACGCCTTAACCAAGATAAATTCCGAGCTAATACAATGGTTAGCAAAAGATAAGGATTAAGTAGTGTTATTAAAAGTGATGTGTTCTATCAAACGTGTACATATTTACATACTAGGTTGTAAATCTTGCTTGTCAAATATTTGAAAAAACAGGGTAAACTACAATTGAAAATCGTGTCATAATTTTGTATAACTTTTAGTCATGTGAGCTTTTTACTCATGGGTTTAGTTTTAACGTGTCCACTCCTATATTCTGTTGGTAATACAAATTGAAAACACTTTGTATATGTTACACCAAAGCCGTAATAGATTCCATAGGGAGTATTAGTCGTAGAAATGGGAAGTAATTAGTACTTTGTAAATTTGTTCACTTGTCTCACTATTAGTTTGTTTTAGTATAGACGTACTTTTCTTATGTTAAGTTCTTATTTGTCTATTGCTTAAAATGTTAAAGTTAAAACTGGATTTCCTTTTTTCATACTTTGATGCTACTTCCACTAGTATACAGCATAGTTGTCATACTGACTTGAAGTAGTTCAAGTAGAAATCGCTGTAATTATTTAATGTTTGTATTCAGAAATGTAGTTTATTCAGATAACTTCATCTTTACATCTTTTTGCATTGCAAGAATTTCACTAACCTCTATGTTGATTAACATAAAACCTTTTTGTGTTTTTCATATTTAAGGTTTGTGAAAGAATTCCACGTCATATTTTAGAGACAATTTATGGAATCAACCTTCCTAAATTTCAAAATGCACAAGTTAATGATAGTTTAAACCGCATCCTGACACCACATGAATTATTAGCTGCTCACGCATGTTAGTTTCTTTATAAGTTTAATACTTTTCCGCCATAATATTTCATGTGATTCATTTATACTGTCCGTTCATTCAGAAATTAGGTACAAATGTTGATGCAACCAGGCTTAGAGTCAGATTTATCGTATGATGTTTAGACATACTTTACAAACTGAATTGGGCAAACGGGTTAGGAAATTATATTCTTATATTTCTCCATATATATATCGGAAATATCCTTCCATGTCTATAAAAGTTTATTTGTTGATATCTTTGTTTTTCTTCCAATCCTTTAGTTATGCATGGTTTTATGACAGCTAAAGGGAATCCAAATTATGATCGTTCTGCAAGAATCATTTTAAAAGATTATGTAAAGGTAAGTTGGTCATCCGGATTTCCTGCATTTATTCGACTCATTAAAAGGAGAGGATTATGAAGAGCAACCTATCACACTTCCTTTCTAATGTATTTGTATATGGTGTATATTTTCAATCTTAAATGTTATGAAGATGTTATTAAAGATTTATAGTCGACTTTATCGTTTATTCTGAAACTTCATTAGTATGTATTCTACAGTAATATTAATCTATATTTATCTATGAAGAATGAAAACTTGATTTAATTTGGGGCAAATTGACAACCAGTTTTAGGTTCATGAACATTGGATCTTCGGACCATGCATTTTGTATTGAGAACTAGTGGTGTTATCTGTTTGCTTAAATCTAACTATGTGAAAGCGTGTGTAAACCTGAATCTTAGTTTTGAAGGTAGAGTAATTTAACTAATTTGTTTTTATTTTTTTGGTAATTGCAAAATAGATGTATGATCTACACAGTCAATAGAGTGAACAAATAATAGTCACGGTAAACAATGATGAGTTATGTGTGATAATTGTAATAATAGTAATAATAATAGTGAGTGAATATCATCTTACGGATAATTGTCTAATCTATATACCTACGATGTAGTTAAACTGTATAAATCATTTGTTTTATTTTACTCTTATAAACAGGGTCGACTTTTGTACTGTCATCCTCCTCCAAACACAATTGATCCTCTTGATTTTCAATCACTTGGGCGAAATGATAGTTTACCCTGCGGGGTTGGTTATTTTCCTGATCAATCTAAAGCTGAACGGTTTCTTAAACGATTAGATGAAAAACAGAAACGAGCGTCTAGTCAATGTATTGATGAAGTTATCACTGAATTTGATCGATTGGCGTTTAAACAGGTTTGTTTAGATATGTATGCTAATTGCGTCACGTCAACAGAAAGCTTTATCTGCTCAAGCGTTAATGTTTTGGTATGCTTAATTCCACTTAGATCATAAGAAACACATTTGCTAGCTATCAGTTTAAACTGAAACCTTGTATAGTATTAATACAACATCTATGAAGTGAATCAATCATAACTTTTATTTATTGGTCACATGCAGCATCGTATTCTCCTAGTTCCATATAATCCGTACTTATAATATTTATTGAGGTAACTATTTAAAGTGGTAATGAGCAGGCAGCCGGGGCAATGCTCTTGTAAGTTAGTTAAAAAATTAGCTTAATAACAGAGTAATCAGAAAATAGGATAGAAGCGTCTTTGATAACGGTAAAAATAAAGACTGTTCGCGTGGAAATATTTGGTATTTATAAGCGGAAATTCCGATTTTCAAGAATAAAATCACAAAGTAATATAAACAGTTTCCTGAATGTTTTACGGAATATGAATGTAATAGTATGTTGTGTTCTCGATACGAACCAGTGTTTTTCAAGGGGTTTACCCCGACCGTAGCTGCTTCCTTGACGCGGTGGTCTGGCTTGCCTATCGTGATGACCCAACCGAGCTATATTGGCTGGAACATATGTTCCTGTAGGTTCTACCATGCCGGGTAGGTCGATTGGAGAACCGTAAGACTAAAAGCAGCAACTCAAGGTCTGAGGGCGAAGTCGTACTGCTGACTGTAGAGGGGTGTGACAGCAGTAAGGTGTTTCCCTCGAACAACCAGCATCTGCAGCGATGCTGCCTTCCCACAAGGAGGGGTGGGGTTAGAAAAGGTCGACCCTAAAAATGTCACACCTCACCTTACCTCACGGATTTCCGTCTCCGGCGGTAATGCCCTTTAAAGAACGAAGCTAACACGTCAAAAACCTCCCACAAAAAGGCCGTGCGCGACCGGCCTCAAGCAGTTGCCCCCTGGGCTCTGTGGTCACGCTCCCAGGTCGTTAAGGCCAACATTAATCCGACTTCCTTTTCAGGTTCCTCAAGAAATACCCTTCCACGGTGTGGGCAACTGGGAAGTGACATCAACCCTCATACCCGTAAAAGCACACGAGACCAAGTTGGTCACATTCAAATCCTTCCTACACCTTCTAATACCACTCTTATCTCCCCGACTGACCCTTCCCACGTCCTTTTATCACCTCGCACCACTAGGGCAAACGATTCCAGTACGCGGAACGTTATTCCTGGTCTCCTGAAACCACGCTCTAAACTACACGTAGGAGCTTATAACGTCCGAACACTGCCAAATACGACAACAGGCTTCCGTAGTTAGGACTTAAGAATCTCGCGCCATCGATGTGTGCTGCCTCTCTGAAACGCGCATACGGGATCCGAGTGGCGTCATTCATTTGACATCACAATGTCAAAACAAAGAACCAACTCGATTCACACTTCGTCTATCTGGAAGCCCAGATTCTGCTTCTCGTGAACACAACGAAGAGCGGAGTCAGCTTAAGCGCAAGCTGACAAGAAGCCTACGCGATGATCGCGAACAGTGGTGGGTAGCGTAAGCAAGAGAGATGGAAAAGGCAGCGGCAATAGGTAATAGCAGACAATTGTTCAGACTCGTTAAGGAAACCGGTATCAGAAACCCGACTGTTAGCGAAACAATTACAGAGAAAGATGGACATATTATTCATTCTTAATCCAGGAGATGGATCGATAGGCAGAACACTTTAGGGATCAGTTCAACTGGCCTACAGCCACACTTCGGTTTGCCACGACCTCCAGTCGACCTGAATGGCAAGTTAATTTAGATCCTCCGACTCTTTATGAATTTGAAAGAGCAATAGGAAATCTGAATTGAGGGAGAGCAGCAGGCCCTGACAGGTTCACTCCTGAGATTTTTAAGGATGGTGGTCCAGTATTAGCAGTGAGATTAACTGAGGTCTTAGGTAGAATTTAGGAACTGGACGTAATCCCATCTGACTGGTCTCAATCACTGATTGTGCCAGTCTATAAGAAAGGACAAAAGTCCTCTTGTGACAATCACAGAGGAATCAGTTCGACTAATATAGTGTCTAAAATATTAGCTTCAATAATACTCCGACGTCTAACTAAAGCTCGTAAAGAGCAGACTAGAGAAAACCAGGCTGGTTTTCGAATTGGACGTGGTTGTATAGACCAGATATTCACACTACGTCAGGTTCTAGAACACAGACACACATTGAGACGCCCCACAATCGTAGTATTTCTTGACCTTAAGGCAGCATTCGACTCTGTTGATCGTGGGGTTCTATGGCAGTGTTTGTCACTGAAAGGAGTACCAAAGAAATGCATTTACCTTGTAAAGGCTCTCTACTCGAACACCACTGGTCGAGTGAGAGTTTATGGCGAACTGTCATCAGAATTGATTACCTCAAGTGGTGTTCGTCAGGACTGTCCACTCTCTCCATTCTTGTTCAACTTTGTCGTCGACGTATTTTTAGAGATAACACTCTCCTCATCTAAATTTCCAGGGGTTGAACTTGTACCAGGAGATTCACTTGTTGACTTAGAATATGCCGATGACATAGTTCTATTTGGTGAAGACGCTGACAAAATGCAGAGTCTTCTGACCACTCTAAGCAACAATGCAAGCATGTTCGGGATGCGATTCTCCCCCTCGAAATGTAAAATGTTGCTTCAGGATTGGGTTGCATAGACACCCGAACTAATGATAGGGAATGAAGTAATTGAGTGTGTCGACCGCTTCACTTATCTTGAAAGTCTCATCAGCCCTTGTGGTCTAGTGTGTGACGAAATCTCAGCACGGATACAGAAGGCTTGACTAGCTTTTGCCAACTTGCGTCATTTATGGCGTAAGAGAGATATCCGTCTATCAACCAAAGGACGTGTTTACTGTGCAGCAGTTTGCTCCGTCCTACTTTATGGCAGTGAAACATGGCCGGTAAGAGTAGAGGATATTCGTAGGTTACTAGTATTCGATCTTAGGTGTCTTCGAAACATTGCTCGTATATCGTGGGACCATCGAGTAAGTAATGTAGTTGTTAGGATAGCAAATCCATTGATGAAGTAGTGAAACTTCATCAGTTGAGATGGCTGGGACACGTGTTACGTATGCTCAACGACCGACTGCCTCGACGTGCGATGTTCAGTGGTATAGGAGTAGGTTGGAAGAAAGCTAGGGGCGGCCAGACCAAAACATGGCACAAGTCGATGAAGTCACTGACAAGTGGACTGAGCCATGTTGGTAGGTGTAGACTACCTGGTTGGGGACCACGAGATGATAGCAACCGATGGTTAGAGACGCTGAATGACATAGCTATTTATTAAGTATATGCAAGAATCAAAAACACCAATAATTGCTTTGCGACTTTTTAAAACCTTTAAATCAAGTGTACAAAGACAAGTAAACTGGAAAAAAGATTCTTCCTTCATATTGAAAATGGAAATCTTTGTTGTCTCTAACGGAAACTGTATCCTTATTCTAAAGTTATTGATTTATACACTAATTGTTATTTTGCTATTTAAATAATATGTTCCTGTACTCTGACATTTTTATCTTCTTAAAGGATCAACCTGCACGCGAACTTATTAAATCTCATAAGCAAATACCCATTTTACGTTCTAACATAGAAAAGTCAAAGATCGATGATGAAGTATCATCGAATGCATCTTGGAGTACTGTTGGCTCAGTTGAGACTGTTAGCAATTTATCATGCATTAGTAGTGGGACAACACAATTTATCTTAGAAGATGGTGCAGTCAAAAAACCTTGGCGTCTATTAAGTCACGCTAAACACTTGAATTCAGTACATTCAACAATATTATCAAACCAAACAGAGGCTGTAAAACATGTAACAAAACATAAAAAACGCAAAGAAAAACTTCGTCGAGTTTATCGTTATTTAGATGAACATGAAAGAATGTGAAAGAAAACTATTATCCACCTAAATTGCATCCTAAAAAATAAACTATAAATTCTTCTCAGTCCTATGTACATTTGACTATTTTTTATCTAAATACCTGATAAATAAATTTTTTGGATCATCAGAATTTGTTTTTATTTTTAAATTTACTTTATAATTCTTTTAATTTATTTGTTTTTCAGTTGGTCAGTTGTATTTTACCAAGTCATCTTAGCAGAGTATATGTAGTTTTCGTGATGGTTTACAATGACATTTTATAGTCTCTGAACATTTGTTTTGACTTAGTTCGGAATAAAGTAGTTGTCTAATCCTCCAAGGTTTACAATAGTTTTCTAGCTGATAGCCGTTTGTAATGAAACGCTAACATATCTTCACAAATTACCCTTTGTGTTTGGACCTATAGTTCATCAGTATTCGAAAAAAGATGACTGTTGTATCTAGTTTGATAGGCCAAATGGTGAATAATAAAACGTTTAAAGTTCACTTTTGTACTTTTTTTTAATCATCCCATTGATGTTTAGGACTTAAATTGATCAGTCTCTTGTTGGTATATGTGCATCCTGTGCGGACTGCCTCCATATTTCCTTAAATCACAGGCATTATAAGCAGAGATGAATGGTGGCTAAAAGTGGAATCGAGGATGCGCGTTTCGTCCTATTTGAGGCTCGTCAACCGGATGTACCTGCATCCCAGAGTCGGTGTGCTCTCGGGGACTTCACCCCATTGTACAAGCTAGTGGCCATCTGCACTCAGTAGCTAAGTCCACAACTCGATGGCGTTTGAAGCGAACGGTACTCGGTTGGAGTTTCGGAGTGAATACCAACGATTTATAAGCTTGAGGTATTCACATTAATAGATTAGAGAGTGTTGGTCCTCAAATGCCTGGTACGGCCGAGAGTGGGGAGCGTCAGCTCTTCCTCTAGAAATGCTCTCACATGACCACGTGCATACAACCACTGCCAAGGAAGTCCTACTCACTACCTTCTCGCGGAGGGGTGTGTTGTTTACGAAATTGAGAGGACGAAAAGCGAATGTCCGGCGCTTGAACGGGGTTGATGGACACGGAGAGTTCACCTAGGGGAGTTGGAAAACCCTGATTCCAAACCAATGGTGCACATGGACTCCAGTGTCTTAAAGGAACAAATGGCGTACGAACCAATTATTGGTCATCGGCTACCATGGGACTGCATCTCCTGACGTTGCTCCACTGCCTTGTGGATCAGACCGTTAAGTCGAAGGCTTCGGGTGTGCCCCCCTAAGAGAACCACCTGCTTCGGTCTTGGCACTCGGGCAGTATCCCAGTTCTCACACAAATCGAATGGTTTATGTGGTGCATATATATTTGGTGCCTCCTTGTACCAATGCTTATGTGTTTAAATAAATAGCTAATATCATGTCGTGTTACGTAGCCCTTGACGAGATATTTATTCTGATTTGTAATTGGATTATTATTCCTCCTTGACTTTATGTTATCTATATCTACCCTATTCATTAATCTTCCAGTTTCGTTTTACGTATTAACTTATTTAAGTTAATATTACATATTAATCACCGTAACTAACAATTTTATATTATTTTACAAACAATCCGAAATTCATTTTTGTATTGGTTGTTTGGAGCGAACGGTACTGGGTTTGAGTTCCGGAGTGAATTTCATTTCTGGAATGTAGGTACATCTAGTTGACGTTTTTCAAATAGGATGCAGTGCGCTTCCTGGATTTCACTTTTAGCCGCCCTCCATCTCTGCTTATAATCCTAGATTCAAATGCTATGGTTTTAAATGATGTATTTGTTTTAATCCTGGACACTGAAATTCTAAGTTTGGATAATTAACTGTAGAATCTGAGGAGAATTTGTTGAAAGGAATATTCTTTGTTCATATATCTGTTTTTTTTCTAAAAACAATTAAGTTATTTGTACATAAACGATGCTGACAATACTTATTGCATGTGATTGTTCTTTTTAAGTTTTTAATTTAAGAAATATGCTACCGATTTGTAACTAAGTAGTGTGTTTATTTCGATTTCTGGAAATTGTAACTTTGAGCAAACGTGTGAGGTCATCTATCCTTAACTAATCTAAAGCTACTTACGTAGATCTATGAACACACCACTGTTGCGTATTCCAACTTTTAGGATGAAAAAGCTAATGAAGTGAGTGTTGGAGCTTGAAATAAAATCCTCAGTGAAAATTGTACTTTTTTTAATATAACACTCGTTTGCTAAATGGAAGGCGAAATGCTCGAAAATTTTTGAAGATTAAAAAATGAGTGCTCTAAGGATTCATGGAAACGTATACTATTTCGACATAGACCTAAAAACTGGGCTTCTGTTTTTTACAGAAGAATGTGGATGAAAATCTCACTATTCACTCTTAGAGCTTAGTTCCATATGTAAAAAATGTGTAGATTTTGACATTTGAACTAATTCATACGCATCATACGAACATGATAAAAGCGAGAGACTCATTAAATGATTGTAATGAAAAACACTTCATATACAAATGTGAAAAGATGGATACGAATTTATGGTTTCTACCACATCAGTTCTAACTAAACACGTTACTTCCTAATCAACCGACTGAAGTTTTAGGTAGTTTATGTTTGATGATTATTTTTCATAAGAAGGAAATCATAGTGTTACCATAGATCTACTATTTACATGATACATTAATATTTTAGCGGTTAATAGCAAAGTACTGCTAATTGAATGACTTCCAGTTTCAATCTAAACAGTAGAATGATATCAGCTTATTTCGATATAATTTATATTTTCTAATTGTTCAACTGTTAAATAGAATAGCATCGGGCTTCCATCATTGAGGTTTACATTATGAGCTTTTAAGACTATCGCACTCAGTTCTATACATTGTATCAATCCAGTGATCTTTATTTATTTTTGTTTGTATAATCTCAACATTTTTTTTAAAATGGTGTGAATAAACGATGACTAGGGTACTCAATTAGCTACGTGTCCGTCCTATCATATTTTCTCCTTTTTTAGTACTGATACTTCTAATAATGGATATGTAGCAACGAATATACTACTAAAATTCATTAGTCAACCCTTGATCTATTAAACTGTGTTTCAAGAGATTTTAGAAAATATCGCAATGTTACATTATTCTTTTTAAGACGATTTCATCTGAAGGTAAATTTTCTAAAAGAAGTAAACATATCTTGGTCAAAGTGCTAGGATTTTTCATCTCAACCTAGGGTTAGTGAATACCTAGGAAGCATAATTCAAGTATGCAGCGCATAGGAGGAGTAGATCTCTTATTTTTGTAATCGTTTTTATACATCATAGGATATGAATAAGGTTTTCCGTTTTCTTTGTTTTAATTTTATTATCTACTTTTCTTGTCTAGATTCACTTATGGACTGGACATGCCAAAAAATTCATTTAAAAAAACTTTGTATTTCTTTATTTTTTAAAAACAGATTAACTTATGCTTTCTAAGAATTTCATATTATCACATGTAAATTGGTGTCAAATCAGTAAATTATCTTCTGTGAATTCATTTATTTTATTACAATATCAACGGAATCATTCTATTCAATCATATAATCAGACTAATAATAATAACAATGAGGACAGTAGTGAATTTCTAGAAAAGCTTAATGCTGCTAAAGACAATCCTCCTAGTGGATCAGCTTTATATCAAGATGATGATCATTTTTCTCCAGTTGTTTTTCCTGATCCTATATTCAATTGGGAATCTATCAGAACTAGCGTAAACGCTAGGCGTATGCATGAACGATTCAATATTGATAAAATTGTAAGTTTAATTAGTATTTTATTGTTTACATGTTCTTTAATTTCGATTATTTCTCTTTTCTGATCGGTAGAACTTGATTAGCCCTGTGATCTACAACAAGAATCTCTTTAAGCAGAGATGTATGGTGGCTAACAGTGTAATCCAGGATGCGCATTTCATCCTATTTGGGGCTCGTTAGCTGTATGTGCCTGCATTTCAAGATTGATGTTCACTCCAGGACTCGGACCCTTCGCGTTGTAGGCTTAGCTACTGAGTCCAGATGGCCACTAGATTGTACAATGGGGTGAAGTCCCCGAGTGCACATCGACTCTGGGATGCAGGTACATCCGGTTGACGAGCCTCAAATAGGACGAAACGCGCATCCTCGATTCCACTTCTAGTTACCATTCATCTGTGCTTATAGTGCTTCTGATCTAAAGATGGTCGTTTCGTTCCAGTATGAGACCTCTTGTTCGACTTTTAACTCGACTGAATCAAGATCCAAACGTCACACTCATGAAAATTACAGATGAGTGTAAGCGGCTACAAAACATCAGACACAACAATGAGTTAACTGAACAGGTAAATCCTAATTTAACTTGCAATCGTTTCAGTGCTATTACTAGGTTAAAAGCTCAGAAGCCAAGAACAACTCGTAACAAACTATCAACTGACTGTCGGTTATGCGGTGATTGGCATTATGTATGATTCTGCCCATTCAGGAAGCATAAATGTCGAGTGTGCAACCGACGTGGACATAAACAAAGTGATTGTCCACCAAATCGTACGTCCCAGCCCAAGAACAAATATATACATCCTCGACATTTGATGAAATCAGCTGAATGTAAATCTGTTTCTGTGGTAGCAGCCTTCCAAACAGACTATGGTATTCGGAGAAAGTATGCTTCTATCCAGATTAACGGCATATCAGCTCGTCTTCAAATTCACACGGCATCCCATATCACCCTAGTGTCTAGAGAAACGTATATGCTGCTTGGGAAACCGCAAATAAAGCCATTTAAGAAAACTGCTAAAAATTCATCAGGAGTGCTAAAATTGGTTGGCGAATTAAAGTGTGAATTTCCCTACAATGGGACTAACTGCAAAGGAATATGCTATCTGACTGAACGGCCAAACCTTGAACTTTTTCATCTAGATATGCTAAAAAAAAACTTGGAATAATGAATATACCATTTAACGATGTCTACGACGCGTCGTGTTCATCATTGGACACCCCGGTACTTGTAAAAAAGGATAGGTGCAAGGTTTTCGTGGCAGTTTATAGATTTGGACTTTGCTGGTCCACTTCATGGACAAACTTATCCTCTGGCAGTTGATGCATATAGCAAGTGACAAAACATTTTTTTTTTCATGGAACACTCAAATTCAGGCTGCACAGTCAGAAAACTACGTCAATTATTCAGTCGTTTTGGGGTCTCAAAATTAATAGTTAGCGACAATGGAACACAATTTACGTCAGCTATCTTCTCGCGATTTTGAAGGCAGAATGGAATCAATCATATCCGAACATCTCCGGTCCATCCCCAAACCAATGACAAAGTGGAAAGCTTTGTTGGCACATTTAGAAATGTTCTGCAAAGACCAGGAGGGGAGGGGACCACCGAAGAGATCTAAGAGAGGTTCCTGTTTATTAATCGCTCTACACGTAACCCTCAGACTATTTGACAAGTCTTTCTAATTGAACGCTAGATTTGGTTCCTAAGCACTTCTGGTAACCCCCAGGTTAGATCTACGTAGCGACTTGAACACGAGAGAAAAGGCGCGAAATATGTAAGAAACACATTATTCCAAAGGTTCGTTTATGTAGAGAAAACCTAGGGTTTTATGGTATTTTAGAAGTCCTTAGGTTTCCCGAAAATTCTGGAATGCTACTAAACACAATAGCAGTGTAAGTAATTATCCAATCAGAAACTCGACATGTGACTCTTCACTTTCTAGATGTTTCTGGCAAAACCCCTAGTGGACGCTGATTGGATAAGATGCTTCTCAGTGTTTTCAGAGCCTTTTTTGGCTTTTTTCGAGTTTTCTGGATCTCCCAACACTTCCCCTCTTTCAGAAAATAAGACTTTCTTCGGGTCTACGTGCAGTTTGACAACTGGTTTTCTGCGGCGTTCGAACTTTCTTAGTATCCAGCGTCTATGAGTGTCTGTTAGAGTTCCTGCCATTGGATTATATGTAATTATCTCTAGCGGAAGACTCACTCGACTATCTACCGTGTTTAGTGTCCTTTTTCTCGGTGTATTTGGTTGATGTGTCTATTCCACGTTACGAAATTCCCACACACTTTGTACAAAACATTTCCCATTCTCTTGTCAATGACTCCCGGTTTCCAACGATTTTTCTCAATGTATGACTTGACGAGTACTTTATCATCCACGTTAAAACTCCGAATATTCTGATTTTGTCTGCGTTCAACCATTGGTTTAGGTGGCAACATGGCGTCGAATATAGTTCGGATGCTTCTCCCGAGCATCGCTTCAGCAGGGGATTTTCCATATGGGACGATAGGGTTAGGCGTAGTTCTATGAGCTGTTAAGGATCTCGTAATTACCTGACTTGTGTCCTCGCCTTTGTCTTACAGTAGTGCTCTTTTGAATGTGCCCACGAAGCGTTCTGCCTGTCCATTTGATTGAGGGTGATAGGATGGAGAGCGTATATGTACAATCCCATTAATGTTGCAGAAGTGCTTGGATGATTCTGCAGTGAGTTGTGAGCCGTTATCGGTCACTAAAGTCTCCGGAACTCCAAAGCAGCTAAACAGTTCAGATAACTTGCTAATTGTTTCACTCGCTGTGGAATTTGCCATGGCATAGATTTGTGGTCATTTTGTGTGTGCATCCACTATGACTAGAAACATTCTTCCTCGTATTGGGCTGGCAAAATTTGTGTGCAGCCTCTCTCATTGTTGTGGTTCACACTTCTTTGAACTTTTAGCTGCTTGCAGGTACGACGAACAATTGTGGCATCTGCTGTAGTTAATGATCTAGCCGCATGTGATATGGCTTTCTCAGATCCATCCGGCATGATGTGAGAAATAATTGCTCCAATGCCGTAGTTTGAAGCGTCTGATGCTACTACAATGGGTAAAGATGGATCGTAATAGGTGAGCAACAGATCCGAGACTAGCATTTTCTTGATTTCGTCGAAACCAGCTTGGCAATTTTCAGATCAATCCCATTTTACATTCTTCGCCAGAAGATTATTTAAGGGGCACGCAGTTGATGAATGTTAGGAATAAAAGCTCCATAATGACTAACTAGTCCCAAAAAGGATCGTAGTGTGGGGACGTCCGTCCGTCTGTGCATAGTTTTCACTGTCTGGATATTCTCTGGATCTGGTCTTCTGCCATCCTTGTCGATTATAAATCCGAAGTAGCGAACCTTTTGCATTTCTCTGGACAGAACCGAAGTCTATATTCGGCTATTCGCGACAGCACCTGGTCGAGCTTCTTTTCTAAGTCTATTCTATCTACTCCCATAATTATTACATCATCCAGACAAGCTGCAGCACCTGGAATATCCTGTAGCATAGTATCCGTTACTTGCTGAAACATGGATGGGACCGTCTTAACTCCGAATGGCAGTCGGTTATACCGGAATAGGCCCCTTGTGTGTGTTTATGGTGAGCAGATCTTGACACTCATCAGCAACAGGAACTTGTAAATAAGCTTCCGACAAATCCAACTTTGCAAAGAGCTTACCTCCATTCATTTAAGCAAAAAGATCTTCGGGTAGGGGTAATTGGTACTGATGAGTTTCTAGGGCTTCATTTAACCCGGTTGAGTAATCAGCACATAAACGGACGCTACCATTAGTCTTCTTTACTAGCACTATCGTGCAGCCCATTCTGAGAAATTCACCGGTTCAATGATACCCAATTTATGAAGTCGTTCTAGCTCTTGTCCAACCACTGGGAAGGCAGTAAATGGTACAGGTCTCTTAGGTCGAAACACTGGCTTTGATCCCTGTCAAAGGGTAAGAGCAGCTTTAAATTTAGTACATTCTCCAAGACCCTCACTAAATACCATTTTATGTCGTTTTAATGATACTTCCACAGAGTTTTTCTCCTCAACTTTCAACATACTGACTTTGTTACAGATCGAGTTTATGGGACAGTCTCCCAATTTTCTCCCACGTTCTTCTGCTTATAAGCGTCATATCGGAAGCTGTGTCTAACTGTAAGCGGGCATCGTACCGATTAATCTTGAGAGAAACATATTGGTTTGGGGATGGACCGGAGATGTTCGGATATGATTGATTCCATTCTGCCTTCAAAATCGCGAGAAGATAGCTGACGTAAATTGTGTTCTATTGTCGCTAACTATTAATTTTGAGACCCCAAAACGACTGAATAATTGACGTAGTTTTCTGACTGTGCAGCCTGAATTTGAGTGTTCCATGAAAAAAAATGTTTTGTCACTTGCTATATGCATCAACTGCCAGAGGATAAGTTTGTCCATGAAGTGGACCAGCAAAGTCCAAATCTATAAACTGCCACGAAAACCTTGCACCTATCCTTTTTTGCAAGTACCGGGGTGTCCAATGATGAACACGACGCGTCGTAGACATCGTTAAATGGTGGAAATGCTTGATCTAAAGGTGAATGTATCTGAGTCTCTGATCTGTTCTGAGTCATATCATGCCACGTTTCCAACCAATTTTTGCGGTTATCGCGCATTTACTATGTATATAGTTTGCATGTAACAACTTGACTCATACCAACCTTAAATGACTTCATGAACTCATGCCACGTTTTGGTTTTGGTACCGTTAGCTGTTATTTGATCTTTTCTTATGTCAACGTATATTGCACTTTAGGGTTGGCAGTATTTAGGTATTCGTAACACATTTCCTAGCTATATTCGTCGATGAAAGTTTGTAGCTTTGTATATGGAATTGTTTTTTCCTTGTTCTCTAATCATAACCTCAACATTGTTCACTAATTGCTTCCAACATATGCGAGCGTTACTGTGAAAGGATCTATAATTATAAACTTTTAGCTTACACATCTGGTCCACTTTCATAGTCCATGTTCACAGTTACATAATAAAGCAAAACCTTCACGTAAAATCAAATTTAACACTTTCAGTTCTTGTAATAATACGATATCATTAAGTCGTTCAATCAAGATTTCTTTCTTTCTTAGTTTTCATTTTAATAAACCTTCAATAATAATCCGATTCATAATAAAAATGATTATTGTCTTTCAAACTGTACTTAATTCCCGAAATCCATTGATATATTTATAAAAAGAAATATAATTTAAGATTGCACTTATCACAGTTTATCATGGTCGCCATAATATATTTTGTGTGTGTGTGTGTGTGTGTATGTGTCTATATACAGTTGTTACCATAAACAAGATGTCTAAACATTTAAATTTGTAAATGTTATTCAATGTTAAAAAAGTATTTTGTGTTTGTTGAATAAAACAAACAACTGTATTCCAATATTTAATAGATAGATTTAAAAAAGCAAATGGATGGTATTCATGAACAAATAAATGCCTTAAAAGAAAATAGAATTTCACTTCAATATCAATATGAACACAATAAACAGGTATATGCAATTCTTTTTCTTTTTTTTTACAACTTTCATTAACTTCCTGTTTTTCTCAGAAATAATTCAATAAAATCTATGTGCTGTCGTTGATAAATTAAGAATATTGTTTAGAAAAAGATACTAGAAATAATAGAATCAGTGTTAGTGAAAAGACTGTAGTTTCATAGTTTGTAGTCGGAACTGAAATACAAGAAATTGTATTTGATTTCTTAAATATATTTCCTTGATAAATTCACTAATGATACATATATATTTCTCTCAGTTGAATGGAGGGACATTAATAAATATATGGAACCCAACAATCAAATATAGATGCACATTTGGTTTTGAATGATGGTTAGTGACACTATTCAGTTTTTAATTATATTGTATTCTTTGATGTAAATGGTTTAATTGTGGCTCTTTGAATATTGCTCTGGATAGTATCATCAACTCCTACTTCATATTGAAGTGAGCTTTCCCGTTATTCTACAAGTGTTAATTTAGTTCTTTTTCATGACTGTTCGTGAATGGTTGTCTTCGTAAATTTCATTGTCTCCATTTATTTCGGCATTCCTATTTACTGTCGTTTTCGGTTGACCTCTGAGCATTTACTTGATTAACCTCTTCCGTACGGGTTGATATATAGAATCTATGTCGATATGTCCGCCAATCGATATGAATGTCATACCTCTAAACTTCATGTACATGAATATCTTTCTATATTGATATCAATAATAACATACCATTTCGCTTAACTGCTAATCTCTGTTCATATATATGTAAGTAATTGGAGCATCCACTTTGTTCAACGCTATATTTCTCGCATTTGGTGTAACATATTTTATAGATGATATCGCATTTATCTTCTAATTTGGCATTTATGGAAAAAGTGAAAAGTCCACTTTTACACATGAGACAGGCGCTGATGATAATATATAGAACTACAATGACGGCTTCGTCATTAAACTATCTATTTCGGAGAATAGAACAATCCTTAAAGCATCCTCTTGAGTCCCGAATCGCCTACATCATCTTATCATATCACTCAAATGCCAAAAAATCGAGGTAGATGAGCCACAGTTCGAACACGGTATTCGAAGGTTATATAATTGACTTTCACAAAATTTATTTCTAGTTATAACTTGTTTAAATTCTCGAAACTTCATGCCCTTTCTTCTTATCCGATGAAACGATGTGAGTGTATTTATTGGTACAACGTAGACAAGAAGTAATCTATTAGACTTGAAATTCATTTATATATCTGTACCCGTTTTCACATGGTTATAAAATTCTGAGTACAATGAACTAGACAATTTATTTTCATTCTATGGAGAAATATGGAATGGTGCATTGTTGTAAAAGTTATGAGAAAAATAATTATGTGCATGTGATAATTGTGCTAGTCTAAAAAGGTTCCACGATGTGCAGTAATTACAATTCTTTTTCACATCAATATACAAAGCACACGTTTTCACTTTATTGTATGAAGATTAGCTGTGATACTGTTGAGTATTGTTACATTTTCTCTGAGTGTCAAGTGGGGTTAACCATATACATATACATTCTAGAATTTCCAAACTGTGGACGAAAGTTTGAGTTTGGCCTTTACGTTTACCTTTCCACCATGGCCCCCAAGTGCCCTGGTACGGCCGCGAGTCAGAAGTCCGCTCTGCCTATCGAAATGTTCTTACATGGCCACGCATATACAGCCACTACTATGGAAGTCATACTCACTGCCTTCTCTCGGGGGGTGTTTACGAACTTGGGAGGACGAAGAGCGAATATCCGGTACTTTAACCAGGTTTGTGGACACGGAGGGTCCACTTAAGGGAATTGTAAGCCCTGATTCCAAACCAATGGTGCACATGGACTCCAGTATCCTGAGGGGACAAATGGCGTATGAACCTATTATTAGTCACCTCCTACCATTAGACTACATCCCCTAACGTTGCTCCACTGCCTTGTGAATTACATCTCTAGGTCAAAGGCTCAGGCGCGGCCCACTGAAAAAACCACCCACTTTAGTTTGGGTACCCGGGCAGTATTTCAGCCCTCACACAAATCGAATAACGAAGCGTGATGCATATATATTTGGTGCCTCCTTGTGCCAATATTTATGTGTTTAAATAAATGAATAAATAACCATGGTCCATTGTCAAAAGTTAATAAATTTCTAAGTGTTATTCATCTGAATTACTGTGAGTAGAGCATAAATTTAGCTGTGTGAATTTGTGTTTTTTTAAATACTGTGGTACTGGGTTGGGTTGGTTGACTTATTTTTAATATCATCATACCAGGATTGAGTGGATCAACTGCAAGGTACTGAAGAAAATCTTTAATTAGATTAATCATACCATTCAAAGAACGTAAGTAGCCTTGTGACGGTAGCATTTAGGTTTTAATATTTTTCTTCCCGTAGATCTAGAACTATCGGAATAGTTTCTATGTAAGTTAAAAATTTAGTCACTGACAATCTTTCTTCCATTTAACACTTGTGAAGATAAATGTCTTCCTTATTTCTATATATTTTCTTTTTGGAAAGGATCCAGATGAAGTTAAAGCTGCTGCACGTGCATTACGAAGTGAACAAAAGTCACTAGAGGTTTGTTGCCATTTTTCATTGCCCTCCATAAATTTATGCAATCAAGTGTTCAATAGCGTGTTTAACCGTTAGTTATTCAAAGGTGTTGTTTTCATCATTTTTATCATTGAAAACACGAAGTTCAGTGATCTCTTTTCAGCGAATTTATTCTCATGCTGTGCAATCGTCTGTATATATATATATATATATATATATATATATATATATATATATATATATATATATAAACTTGTTTCATGTCTGTATATGAACAAGGAATAAATATTATGACGTAATAGAAAGGTTGCAACATTAGATTACGTAATTTAAATAATAACTATTAAAGATTGTGTGTGTAAATAATAATAATTATAATAATTTTGACATGTCCTACGAATGTCGTCCCAGAGAATTCCTCGTCGTGCACTATTTGCCGACTCTGGGACTGGTTGGAAAAAGCGGAGAGGTGGTCAGTGTATGACATGGTGTCGTGGTATGAAAGAAAGCTGCAAAGGGCTGGCTTGTGTTGGTCCTTCAGGACTATCTGGTTGGGTTCCGAGAGATGGTGTGACACAGTGGCTAGAGACGTTATCAGATATGGCTCAGAATAGAAGCCAGTGGTGATCCTGCTGTAACCTTCTTTTATTTTCCTCATAAAAAGTGGTTGTATCTTCCTAAACTGAAAGATTTCTTCTGATTGTACCTTTTCGTTCCCCCATTATTACTATTATTATTATTACACTTCCCTACACCAATCTCTTCGTTATTGTTCTCTTTTTTATCACACTCCTTACCTTTTTTCCTTCTCTTTAAATTCTCATTGTTTTGTGTGTCGCATATATATTTGGCGCACTCTTGTACCAATATGTATGTGTTCAAATAAATAAATAAATAAATTGTGTGTGTGCAAATAGAAAACATTGTAAAATTAATAAGTTAGCAGTAGATTATAACGTGAATGAAGTAAGATGATTAAAATATTTTTGTTACAATAATTAAGAGTTATAGAGTTGTACAATTAGACAGTGATTTCAAAAACAATTATGAATAAAGTCATGGTTATCTACGATATATTTAAAGAGAAAGGGGGATAATTTCAAATATTAAATGCAATTTTTTTGTACGCACATTCTCGTCGACTGAATTCCCGGGTATTGGTCTCCTTCCAGGAGGTCCACTTATCTACATAGAATACGCGGATGACATAGTCCTGTTTGGTGAAGACGCTGATAAAATGCAGGGTCTTCTGGTAGCACCAAGCAACAATGCCAGAATGTTTGGAATGCGCTTTTCTCCCTCCAAATGCAAGTTGTTGCTTCCGGACTGGTCTGCGTCAACACCTGAATTAAGGTTAGGGAGTGAAGTAGTCGAACGCGTTGACAACTTCACTTATCTTGGAAGTCTGATCATCCCTAATGGGTTGGTGTCTGATTCAAAAAGCTCGTTTGGATTTTGCCAACTTACGTCACCTATGGCGAAGGCGAGATATCCGTCTATCAATAAAAGGACGAGTATACTGCGCGGCAGTCCGTTCTGTTTTAATTTACGGCAGCGAAACATGGCCATTAAGAGTAGAAGACACACGTAAGCTACTAGTATTTGACCACAGATGCCTTAGAAATATTGCTGGCGTCTGCTGGGATCACCGGGTAAGTAATAGTGAGGTTAGACACTGGGTATTAGGGAATGATGGCAAATCAGTTGATGAGGTTGTGAATCTTCATTGACTGAGATGGTTGGGCCACGTGTTACGTATGCCTGAACACCGATTGCCACGACGTGCAATGCTAACCGGTGTTCGGGATGGTTGGAAGAAAGTTAGGGGCGGCCAAACCAAAACGTGGCATCAGTACTTGAAGTCACTTACTTGTGGTCTAAGCCATGTTGGTAGATGCAGACTACTTGTTTGGGGTCTGTGTGACTATTCTCACCAATGGTTGGAGACTTTTGGTGACATTGCTCAGAATCGATCACAATGGTGCAGGTGTATACACTCTCTGTCTTCCCTTAAACTATGAAACTAAAATCGCTTCATATCTTTCTTTCTATGAACGAATTCTTTGTTCCTGTACTATAGTCAGTCAGTCAGTAACAACGTAGAGCTTCGTACGTACGTACATCAGTTCGAGTTACCACACCACATTAGCACAGAGATACAGTTGTCGATTCAAATCCCGTAGTGGTAGAGGTAATAAGAGTATAAGCAGTAATCGGGAAGATTAGGGTTTGGAGATGTTATTTAAAGAGTATAATCCAGTGAAATAAATTTTGAAAGTGGAAAAAAGGGACATGAAGAATTCAGAAGATTAGAATTTGAGAGAACACAGAGAGTGGATGCACCTGCGCCATTGCAAACGATTTTGAGCCATGTCATTCAGGGTCTCTAACCATCGGTTGCTATCATCTCGCGGTCCCCAACCAGGTAGTCTACACCTACCAACATGACTCAGTTCACTTGTCAGTGACTTCATGGACTTGTGCCATGTTTTGGTTTGGCCTCCTGTACTATATCTTTATATGCAGTCTTTCTTTTATATATTACCACCTCTGAATGAACTAATTTTATGAATCTGGTGTTCATCTTGTTGTGTTAATGAGGTATGGCAACTTGGACCGATACATATATGTGCCTGGTCCTACGTTGTAGCTGACTGACTGACTGTACGCACAGTTCTGGCTGCATCTCAAGGTCGGCAAGAGCTTCTGATGTTTTAAGGAGTTGGATATGAAAAAAATCTAGGTAGATTTGGACGAATTCTATAAACAACCTTAAAACCAACCTGTGGATTAGTGAAGTGGTTGGAATCGAATAAATGTTCAAGTATGGAACTCTTAACTGCTTTCCTCTCACCTCTGCAGAATCTCACTGAGACATATTCTCGTATTCGAGTTGAACGAAAGCGCCTGTGTACCTTGCTCTACAAGAGCAGTTGAAATAACACACTGGACGGCAGTTCGTCCTCAGTAGTGCGCATCCACTCATGATTTCAACTGTTGAAATTACTAAAATCTCCACAAAACCCCTTCTGATAATAATCATTTGCTCATTAGTGACTGACTTCAAGAGACATTTTCTGGAGTTTAGTGAGAAGCCGTGACCAGTGGAGTTCAACCAGGTCTGTTGTGAGATGTCAACTCACTGAAGACAATGGTGTACGGTGGCGCAATTTCGTGGATTGGTTGAGGTGCTGGCTCAGTGGTCTAGTGGTTAAGTGCCCTCGCGCGAGACTGATAGGTCCTGGGTTAGAATCTCGCGGGGGGGGGAACGTGGGTGCGCACTCCTGAGGAGTCCCACAATAGGACGAAACGGCCGTCCAGTGCTTCCAGGTTTTCCACAGTGGTCTAGCTTCAACTGACTCATGATTTCAACTATTGTAATTAATATTTATTTACGTCTACCACTTTATTCAACTGTTTTTCTCACATCTTATTTTAATTCAGGTATCATTTAAGAAGTTGGATTATGAATTTAAAAAAGAATCACTCAATTTACCCAATATCATACATTCACTAACTGTAAGTTAATTATTGTTAGATGGTTAGTTGAGATGCATTAATTCAATTCTAGTTATGCATATTCTATACTGTGGATTATAGTTAATTTTTTGAAAGGGATAATATGGTAATTTGATGAATTTATCCTTTTACGCTTTATATATTTCTACTTCTGAATAAGTAGTTGATTATTCTTTGTATACTTTCACTCTTCAGTTTTCTTTTCTTTTCATTTTAAGCACATTCCTTATGTTCTAGTTTCTAATGATATGAACATTATTATTTCTTCATCTCATTTTGTTAATTTCCACTATGCATGTATTTGCAAATGAAAATCACTCAGATGGATGTTAATAGTATTTTTGTTTCCTTTAAGAGCGAACTGGTTGAATTGGATATGTTTTAATAATTGATCAGTTGGTAATAGTCAATGCTAATCAAGTTCCATCGATCAATTTTTAATATGGCTACTAATCTAAGTGGTCTCGTCACCACACTTAAGCTATTTATCTCGTAAAACACGATTCTGATGAAAGAATATTAACTACGTCTTAAAACAAAGAGTTATGACTTACATATTCTTGAAAACAACTGTTTAGTGTTATTTTATCAGTCAAACTACATGCTTTACTCATAAATTTCACTTTGTCTATCTTCTGGCAAAATAATACACAATTATATTAAAGTATATACTCATGAAGTAAAATACAAAAGCTATACCTTGTATAGCACACATATTATATGAAGATGTTTTGAGGTTAGAACTAAACAAAAACCTTTGCAGTTAAAGAGATACGGTTATTAATCACCGTTGTAAGAATACATATCTGCAATATTCCTGTGTTTCTCTTATTATATTTCTCTGCTGTATCAAACATATTGTGTTGGATAAGGGGCTTTTTGCTGTTATTATGTAGGACACCCATCTTTTGATCTTTGCTCGAGTCTGTAATAAACAGATGTAAACAACATTTCAATATCTTAGTTTGATATCAACATTTTATGTTCATAAACGACGTAAGAAAACTTTCATATTTCGTGAAACATGGGATCATTCCATAAAGTCATTAACAATTAATTTTCGGATGAATGAACGAAAGCAAAGATTACGCAACCATAAAAACCCTGATTAACTATATTATGAAAATGTTCAAATTTCGAACGATCCTATCTATTGATCAACACTGATAATCGTACATTTCTTTAACAATAAACCTGGATATCCTTGTACAATTTTCAGATTAACAATTTGTCAAGAAATGTACTTATGAATATCTGTAGGCTTTATTCATTCTGTGTTGGTTTCTTCCAACATTATATTACAAGCAAGATATTCGTTCACAATGTGTACTGTCATGTTTGTTGATATAAACTAATAGAAAGTATTTGTACTAGTTTGGTGGCGGTGGTTTCGGAAACATGGATCCTTCTAAACTTGAATTATTACTCGAGCAGCAGATGAAACTTATTCAGATGTTAGCAGATGCAAAGCTTACGTCTAATACTCAACCAAGCAGTTCTAATCCTACTACTACTGCACCATCAGTTGATAGTATCGCTAACAGTATCTCCGAGTTTCATTACGATCCGGAATCCAATGTCACGTTTGATATGTGGTTTCGACGTTACGAAGACTTATTCAAATTTGACTTTGCTAATCAGGATGATGCTTGTAAGGTCCGTTTGGTCCTAGTGAACTAGACAGGTATTGCAATCTAATTCTGCCTCTAAACCCACGCGGTCGCTCATTCTCGGACACTGTCCAGTCATTGAGCCAATAAGATGCAAGTCGACCCCAGGAAAGTTACTTACTTACTTACTTACGCCTGTTACTCCTCGTGAAGGAGCATAGGCCGCTCACCAGCGTTCTCCATCCAACCCTGTCCTGGGCAATCCTTTCTAGCTCCGTCCAGTTGTAATTCATCGTTTTCATATCTGCTTCTATTATCCGACGCAATGTGTTCTTTGGCCTTCCTCTTTTTCGCTTCCCCTCAGGATTCCAAGTTAGGGCTTGCCTCGTGATGCAGTTTGACGATTTGCGTAATGTATGTCCTATCCATTTCCATCGTCTTTTCCTAATTTCTTCTTCAGCTGGAAGTTGGTTTGTTCTCTCCCACAGAAGGCTGTTGCTGATGGTATCCGGCCAATAGATGTTGAGTATCTTGCGAAGACAGCTATTTATAAATACTTGTACTTTCTTGATTGTGGTTGTTGTAGTTCTCCAAGTTTCAGCTCCATACAGTAGAACTGCCTTGACGTTCGTATTGAAGATTCTCACTTTGATATTGGTTGAAAGTTGTTTTGAGTTCCATATGTTCTTCAATTGTAGGAATGCGACCCTTGCTTTGCCGATCCTCGCCTTTACGTCTGCATCTGAGCCTCCTTGTTCATCGATGATGCTTCCCAGATATGTGAAGGATTCTACATCTTCCAGAGTTTCGCCATCAAGAGTGATTGGATTGCTGTTCTCCGCTTTGAATTTGAGGACCTTAGTTTTTCCTTTGTGTATGCTGAGGCCTACTGATGCAGAGACTGCTGCTACACTGGCTGTCTTCATCTGCATCTGTTCGTGTGTACGTGATAGGAGGGCTAGGTCATCTGCGAAGTCCAAATCGTCTAATTGATTCTGAGCTGTCCATTGTATTCCGTGTTTTCCTTCAGATGTCGAGGTCTTCATAATCCAGTCGACCACCAGAAGAAAGAGGAAGGGAGAGAGTAAACAGCCTTGTCTGACTCCGGTCCTTACTTGGAATGCATCTGTCAGCTGTCCTCCATGCACTACTTTGCACTGTAGTCCGTCGTATGAGTTCTGGATTATATTGACAATCTTCTCAGGAATTCCGTAGTGTCGAAGAAGTTTCCATAACGTCCTCCTGTCTACACTGTCGAATGCCTTTTCATAATCAATGAAGTTGATGTATAATGATGAGTTCCACTCAACTGATTGTTCGACGATGATCCGTAGTGTTGCAATTTGGTCTGTGCACGACCGATCCTTACGGAATCCAGCTTGTTGATCTCGAAGTTGGGCGTCTACTGCATCCTTCATCCGGTTCAGCAACACTCTGTTGAAGACTTTCCCTGGTATTGACAGTAGTGTTATGCCTCTGTAGTTTTCACATTTGCTCAGATCTCCTTTCTTTGGAATCTTGACGAGGTTTCCTTCTTTCCAGTCCATCGGCACTTGTTCCTCCTCCCAAATCTTTTTGAATAGAAGATAAAGCATGCTTGTGGTTGTTTCGATGTCTGATTTCAGTGCTTCAGCTGGTATGTTGTCGGGTCCTGCTGCTTTCCCGTTCTTGATTTGTCTGACGGCCATTCTAATTTCTTCCGTAGTTGGTGGATTGACATCTATAGGAAGATCTATGTGTGCTGCTTCGATGTCCACTGGATTCATTGGAGCCGGCCTATTCAGGAGCTCTTCGAAGTATTCTACCCATCTGTTAGGCTGTTGTTGAATTTCGGTGATTGGCTTGCCTTCTTTGTCTTTGACCGGCCTCTCTGGTTTACTGTATTTCCCTGATAGTTTCCTCGTTGTATCGTAAAGCTGTTTCATGTTTCCTTCTCTAGCAGCTTTTTCTGCCGTCGTTGCTAGTTCTTCAACGTATTTCTTCTTGTCGGCTCTAATGCTCCTCTTCACTTGTTTGTTTGCTTCTATGTATTCAGCTTGTGCTTGGACTTTCTCTGCTCGTGTTCGGCTGTTGTTTATTGCTGCCTTCTTGTTCTTCCTTTCTTTGATCTTGTCCAGTGTTTCTGTAGAGATCCATTCCTTATGATGGTATTTCTTCAGACCGAGAACCTCTTGACACGTTGAAGTTAATGCTTCCTTGATGCCTTTCCAGTTGTCCTCCATAGTAGTTTCTTCTTCTTTCAGTAGATCTCGTAAGGCTTGGAACCTGTTGTTGAGAGCTATCTTGAATTCATTGAGTTTGACAGTATCTCGAAGGAAGGCTGTATTGAACCTTTGTATTGCTGTTTGTCCACTTGTCCAGTTCTTTTTTAGCTTCAGTTTCAAATTGGCTACAACTAGGTGGTGATCTGAAGCTACGTCAGCACCTCTCCTGGTTCTCACATCTTCCATTGTCCTTCGGAATTTTTTGTTGATGCAAATATGATCTATTTGGTTCTCTGTAGTGTGGTCCGGTGAGATCCATGTAGCCTTGTGTATACGCTTGTGTGGAAATATTGTGCCTCCTATGACCAATTTGTTGAATGCGCATAGATTTGCAAATCTTTCTCCATTTTCGTTTCTTCCTCCCAGTCCATGTCGTCCCATAATATCTTCATATCCAGTGTTGTCTATTCCGACTTTGGCATTTAGATCTCCCATTAGAATGGTGAGGTCCTTTTTTGGGCATTTCTCTATCACTGACTGCAGCCGCTCGTAGAACTGATCTTTAATTTCGTCGTTGCTATCATTGGTGGGTGCATAACATTGGATAATATTCATTAAGATCCCCTCCTTCTTTGTTTTGAATGATGCTTTGATGATTCTGGATCCATGAGATTCCCATCCTACAAGTGCATTTCGTGCTACTTTGGACAGCATAAGAGCGACTCCCTGAGTGTGTGGAGCATTGTCCTCTTCGTGACCGGAGTATAGCAGCATCTCTCCCGTAGCTAGCCTTTTCTGTCCAGCTTGGGTCCAGTGGGTTTCGCTGATTCCCAGTACTGCTAAGTTGTATCTCCTCATTTCCATTGATATTTGACTGGTCTTCCCGGTTTCCCACATTGTTCGAACGTTCCATGTACCTATAAAAATTTTTGCTCTGGTTGTTAGAAGGGGCATCGGCCTCGTGGCTTCCGAAGGAACTCGGCTTTCACCATGAAGCGTCATAATTCTTCTAAATGAAGACCTTCTAACTCCCAGGGCAGAGTTAAAATGGTTTGGATTATTTTTTCTGGTAAGCGTTTTTTTAGCGAGTTAGTTTTCTACGGGATGGGGACGCTAACCCCATGCCCAACCCTCCTCCTTTACCCGGGCTTGGGACCGGCAGCAACCCTATAAGAGCTACAGGCGGAGTTACCCCAGGAAAGTACACTATTACAAAAGTGAGGTGTGTTGGAGACGTTAGATCCCCAGAACTCACTTGGAAAAGGATCGCGCCAAAAGCGCTCTTGTCACCTACATGTCGTATTTCCCACTGGGAAATGTCTTAAATGCTATTGGTCCATTGCGTCTTTTAGTATGCTATTTGGTAACTCTCCCCAAGGACGGTTTTGTGCTGTATATATACGTCTTGATTTGTGTTTGTTGTTATCGCTTGTCTCTGGCTTTTTGCGGAATATACTTCTCCATTCCAACCTTGGACTTCTTCCTCTAGTTAGAGTGGCTGGGACGCATCAAATAGCTAGCTTACTGGTGTTTGGTCACCGAGTCTTTGTTCTTGTTTGCAGATTAGGTGAACTGGTGATAGCTTCAACCCCAGCAACTTAGAGCATCAGTAAAAAGTTTACCTTTTTTCTAGCATCCTACTCATGACTTTATTACTTATTCATTTGCATCATTAAATCGCCAACTATACCGGTAAGTTGAAATTGATCTCATGCCACTACTAATTTATCATTTTTAATACTTAGCTCTGATAGATTTTTCATATCAAACGTGATATTTGTTTTTTTTTTTGGCCGATAAACCTGTTACTTTTATCTCTGACGAATATTAATCTCTTTTTTTCAATTTTAATTCCGTTAGGTAATAATAAACATAATCACTGGTAAATAGAGAGAAAAATTCCTTTTTTGGGGTTATATTTTGACAGTTGATAATTTCGGTATTTAAGAAATCTGTCTGAATTCATTCTGATTTAAAAAAAACCCAACTATTGTTTCTTTTTCCTTTATTTTCATATGTTTGTTGTGATTTGTGTGGACTCTGGGCGGGGCGGTACGGCGATATACATGTACATGGGTTATTATTATTCAAATATTCACATCTGTATACAAGCCTGTCGATGCAATGAAGTCACAGAATCCAATTAAATCATATCGTAAGAAAATTTGTACCAGTAAAAAGGTACTTTGGTCTAATCTAGCAGATGATAATTACAATGAGTAAGTTCAGTGATCAACACTGATATCATTATTTCATATTATTTATAAATGATTATTTGATAGTTGTATTTAATCATTGTTTCTTATTGCCTATTCATGTCATATATATTATTTCTTCCCCTTATCTCACCCTGTTGCATATTAGTCAGTATATGATAATTTAAGGTATATCTCTATAAGAATTCTGATGTAGACTAAATGTAAACTGTCAAGATTTATCAATAATATAAAATTCTATATCTCAGAATAGAGATAATGATTGATTACTCTGATTGAAAATACTCTAGATTGATTTGTATTATACTACTATTAGATAAATGGAAATTTCGTTTGTGATGCTTATTGAGAGAGTTGTTGTTTTCAAGTTCGCATGCTGCTTAGGATATATCCATGGAATAAACTGTAACTGTCATTCTGTATATACGCTTTATTGTACTGCTTATCTGCTTAGACTGAAATAAATACTTTGAATCCAATGAGAATCCAGTGTGTTGATATTTTCATTGGTTAACTCTAAAAGGAGCGTTTATGCCACTAATTTATTATCAGTTTTAATTTTTTATTCAAAAAACAACCAGTGCTGAATAACCATCTGCAGTAATTTATGTTGGGGTGTAAGTTAATCAGCTTAATTAATAATTAACTGTTATAAAGCGTAGTTCATTTGTTAAAGAGTTTTAACTTCTTTTGATTTCACTGATAACTTATACAATAACTTAATTAATGTTCCAGTGCAGCGAATGTTAATACTGCATTGATAGAAATATTTGAAAAATTGAAGGCCAACAAATTAGTTATAAGTTGACATAAAGTCGATCCACTCATTGTTATCAGTAGTGGTCGAAAAAGGCGAAATTTTATGGAAGATAAGTTCCAAAGCTAATAGTGTTCGGTGTTCTTGACTTATTAAGGAGAACTGTTTTTGATGTCTGATAAATAATTAAACTCATAAGGCTGCTACCTACACACTTACTACTAATATCAGATGGGTTTTTGTGGAGATTGTAGTAATTTCAATGGTTAAGATCATGAGTCAGTTGAAGCTAGACCACTGTGGAAAACCTGGAAGCACTGGACGGCCGTTTCGTCCTATTGTGGGACTCCTCAGCAGTGCGCATCCACGACCTCGCTCCCTGCGAGATTCGAACTCAGGACCTACTGGTCTCGCACCCGAGCACTTAACCACTAGACCATTGAGCCGGCATCCAACGGTGTTAATGTCTAACTTCAACTAATCCACAAAATTGAGCGACACATTCACCATTTTCTTCAGTGAGTTGACATCTCACAACAGACCTGGTCGAACTCCACTGGTTAAGTGCTCGGGTGCGAAACCAGTAGGTCCTGAGTTCGAATCTCGCAGGGGGCGAGGTCGTGGATGCGCACTGCTGAGGAGTCCCACAATAGGACGAAACGGCCGTCCAGTGCTTCCAGGTTTTCCACAGTGGTCTAGCTTCAACTGACTCATGATCTTAACCATTGAACTTACTACTAACTTCCTATCCGCTTTCTATAACCTCATACTTCTTTATGTGAACCAGAACAGTAGAAGGTGTTAAATATGAGCAACACCCTTGCTTGAAGGCTCATATGTTTCCAGAAAACAAGCTTATTTATAAGTTTGTTAACAACCGTTAAGTTTTGGAAAATTTTGAAAACATGGCCAATTAATTAACAGAGTAAGTAATAATCCAATCGGAGTTTGAAACAATCTATCAATTTCCTAGAAGTCTTTATGACATATCCTGATTGGACGAAGTGTTCTCGACCGTTATGGTGTATTCTAATTTGACGAAACGTTGTCAGCCTTTTCCTGGCTTCTAAAGATGTTATCGAAGAATTCTCCTGAGACCTCAACAAAACTATTAAGAAGAAAATCATATCAGTGACCCACTTTCCGACTAGACAAATTGGATGATAGATTGAGCACCTGGGAACAATCTACTGTTTTTAAGTTGTTGACTAATAATCCTCAGATAATTAAAATAACCCATAGTGTCATTGAATAAGAAAAAGAGAATTCAGCGAAGAAAATTTTCTTTTCGACGAAATCGTTTACGTAAACTGTACATTCATTATTTTTTCTCGAATCCATTTTTGTGACTCAATCTTTTCTATTCTCCTATAGACGTATATTTTCTATATGACTATTAATCCACATCCGAAGTGGGAGAGTGGCGTTGGTTCTCAAAGACCTCTGGGAGTTTTTATTTTAAGATGGTCAGATGAATATGTCGTTTTTTTGTCAAAAAAACCAAAGGGTTTTTCACTGATAATTTTCTGACGTAACCGGTTCACTTTCAACCACTAGGTTGCTAGTCCGAAGCCAACTAGGCTTTTAGTTTAGGTAACTGAGCAGTATCATTAGCCTTAGTAAAAAGTATGACTGAAAGCGGAACCCATAACGTGGTGACTAAGGCAAGTGTGAGATTTTAATAAATAAAAAGATATCCAACAAAAATCCTATCTGTTTAAAATCAGGTATTCGACACTTCTTCTGAAGTATAACAAACAAAAAAAGCTGGATAAATGGAAACGCTGCTGGTAATTTCAAATCATTTCCTGTGGTAATTATTATTTGTGATTTAGACTGGTTCTACACTTTATCTCAGAACGCTTTTTTAATTGTTCATGATAAACCGGCGAGACTCTAATTTAGGGATGACCTTTGAACGAATCTTAAATGACCTTGACAATTATTAGCCAGTCAGAAGACAGCTAGTATAAAGTGAAAATATATTATAAAAAAGTAATGAATTACAGTGGATATTCTTCTTTTACACGATTTAAAAACTTGTCAAGGTTTGATAAAGGTTCAGAGGTTCTGAATTCATAATGCATACGGTATAGAAACCCGTCCATAGGGTTAGGGTTAGGGTGACGAGACTCTAATATAGGGACGAGACAATCAGAAGCGTTTGAGCAATTTCAGGGTCACGAAGCCAAGTTCAACACGTGATGCTAACATACGATCGGTTTACAGCGGATTTTAGAGAATAGGTGATTATTGAGAGGCTACAACCCTAACCCTAGCCCTATGGACGAGTTTCTATACCGTATGCATTATGAATTCAGAACCTCTGAACCTTTATCAAACCTTGACAAGTTTTTAAATCGTGTAAAAGAAGAATATCCACTGTAATTCATTACTTTTTTATAATATATTTTTACTTTACACTAACCGTCTTCTGATTGGCTCGTCCCCTCGCCGATAAACCTTTTCGTAACAATCTGTTATAACTTGTGGCCTGTGTGCCCTGTTAATGTATAACGTAATGATACCGCCAATTAGAAAGCAGTGAATTATCGATCGGATCAATCATGCATAAAAACCTGTATGAGCAGTCTCGAGTCCTTGTTGGTCCATACTTCCTGCTTAGCCCAGCCATTTAGGTCCGGAACACAAATCTCAGCCTCTGTGATATGAGTATGAATAGTTTAGTTATTTAACAATTATACGATAAAAATATACGCATAGTATTGGTCCATAAATGGATCCCAAAAGTTACCATTCATTATGCTTATCGGGACATAACATAACCATTTATCTTACACATCCTATAGCTTGTTTGTGTATATGCTTGCACATATTCCTTTTTCAACCTGTTTAGGGTTATTGGAACGTATTATACAGGTCGTTTAGCGGAATTGGAATACACTCACATGAATAAAGTAAATGACTATTGGCTCAGTCGAATGAACGAAGGTCAATCATATAATTATCCTGTTTGTCTATCAGACATTATTCGTGGACCGGCGTTAGAGGCCACTTCATGGCCAAGTGTAAAATCTGTAAGGTTAATGTATTTATAAATATTCATAGTTGTTATTCATTCAAATGTACAGACAATCAGTTCTCACATGATATAACTGTTGGCTTTTTTTCTGAACAGTAACATGTTATAACGTGAAAATATTTGCTGCGGATTAAGGGGTAGCGAATTATTGATCGGACCAAAGTCGCGCAAACACGTAGAACGACCTAGGGTTCTGATTGGTCTCGCTTCCCTGTCTAGCCCCGTCAATTGAGTCCAGAACGCAAGTCACAGCCTCGGATATATGAATCATTATATTTCAAACATGCTTTGTTTATATACCATTCAAGCAGTCCACAACGTACCATAAAATAGAAGATAACATTGTACAATAATGGCCAGTAGGAAAATAACACGTCAAATAAATATTGACCAATAAGATGATACCATTTCATGTCCAAGGATAGCATTAGGCTTAACAGGATAATTTTTGGGATATTTTCCTGAATATCCCAACATAACATATCAGTTCAAATTTTCCAACTTGTGGTTTGGAAATGGAAATTGTTTGTTCTTTACCCATTTACTGAATGTTCCTTTTATATTTGCTTTCGGCTCAATAGAAACCTCAGAATATTACTTGATGTATTTATTCATGCTGCTTTATAACCAAGCATATATTTAAGAAGGATCATTGAATATACCTTAGAAGAGTTTTTCAATTGATATGTAGAAACTATCAGTAATGAATTCTTGAGATTACAAAGTCCCCCTAACTATTAGAATATTTAGTCTTGAATTTCTTAAATGCAAATCTCCATACAATTAATACATTGTCGAATGTATATTCAGTGTATATTTTGTATTTAACACGTTGCTCTACTGTAATACCGAATACGTATATATCATTCACTTCTTTTCCTCTTATCATTCCATTGTGATCAGGCAATTCGATTAAGACCGTCGAAAAATGATATGTTGTTAGTGGAAGATCCGAATACTGGAATTAGTAAATGGCTCATCAATCCTCATACAACTGATTACTTAGTCGGTTCAGCTAGTCTTGCAGCTTTTTCGGGTGAGGATTCTTACAATACGAATGTTTGTTGGTGTGTTGTATGTTTTTGTCATCCATACAACTGTTAATAATTGCTTTTCTATTTAAAATTTTTAATATATTTATATTTGTAGATCGGTATTCTCTAAGTAGTTTAATAATTATCATTGAATTTTCATTATGGGGTTGTGTAGATTATCAGATTTCAATTAAATTATGAAACTATCATGTTCTCTTTCGTGGATAGCTTCGAGGCGAAATGTTCGCAGTTCTAGTGTGAGGCCGTGGGAAGTGTGTGGTTCGAGGCAGTTATCCATCGAAGACAATGGAAGATGGTCGTGCAGTGTCGTGGGTGCCAGCTCAATGGTCTCACAGTAGAGTCCTGGATCCGATTCCCGCGTGTGGGATTGCGGATGCGCACCGCTGAGAAATTCTGTACTAGGACGAAACTGCTGTTCAGGGCTTCCGGGTTTTCAACGGTGGTTTAACTTAGATTGGTTATTGATTTCAATGAAGTTCTAATTAACACGGTCCTTATGTTCTGTGACTGATATCATTCTGTGATATGTATATTTGTTTATATATTTTTTTCTGTGATTTCCATGAACTTATTAATTTATTAAGGGTTAATGTAGATATTCACTTATCTGCTTTTTGAATCTGTCTGGTGGTAATAGATGTGGTATGAGAAGAGAAAGCTATTGTCTAATCGTTGTGATACAGTCTAGTGTGTATTAATTTAAAGAGAAAAATACGGTTTTGGCATAAACATAATCACATCAATAGACAAACTTAAAATTAGGCAGGGACAAACCATTGTTGGTTTTAATTCAGTGTGAAATGATTCTAATAAAAACTGATAACCTCTGCGCAAGTAAATGGCTATCTGGAATCAGTGAAGAAACGCGATGGGGTTTGAAGCGAACTGTACTGGATTCCAGTCCCGTAGTGGACATCTCTGGGACGCAGTTATATCCGGTTGAAGAGTTTCAGACAGGGCAAAACATGCGTCCTTAATTTTATTGGTGGTTTTGTTTTAAAAAATGCAGGACTTTTTTTCAATGAACATTTGAAACGTATATAGTCGAAGCAATCGATTAAATAGATAGGTTATTCATTTTTTGCTGAAATTATTACCCAGAATATTTCCATCGTTCCTAGACCCATAAACGTTTGATTAATATGACCATGTTTCAGATAGTTGAAATTTCAATGCAGGGTTTAACTTATTATTGTTTTATGTTTTGTTCTCTGTTAGATTTCAACATTTTCTGTTTCATGAATGTTTACTGATTGTCACTATTTGCCATAGTCTAAATTTGCTTCTACTCACATTTCCTAATTCATCTTAATTTCTTCGAATTGGTCACCTTTATCAATTAATTCTGTGTTTTTTCTTGCCAAAAAATCACTCTCTAGCTTATCTTATGCTGCATAGAGCTAATCTGTTCACTAATTCATATTTACGCCTCGTTTCTAAAGGATCTGTTTATATCAACGACAATGGAAATGGTAAATATGTTTATACGTATATTTTTAAAGTCGTTGTTGATGTTTGTTGCTGTCGGTTTTCTTTTCCTTTTATCATACATAATGTAATATGAATAATTTTTTTCAATTACATTCATTATTTAATGAATGGTCCATTGATTATTTCGTTGGTTTTTTTCTTATTCTTTTGAATATGTTGTCTAACTTGAATTCTTTGCAAATTTTGTTGAATTCAGTCTAACAGTCAGGTCTTAATATCAATATTCACATCCAATAATCGTTTATGATGTCTCACGTTTGTTTTATATTCCTATTCTATAAATAGGGATGTTATTTTGTCAGAAAAAAAACCTGTCCATTTAAGTATTGTCATTACCTTTGGTTTCAGTTCATTCAGGAGTTTGCGTTAATAGTGATGCAGTATTGTGAGCTGTTATCGTTCGGACACATCATATCATAAAATTTCATCTGTCAATCACTATTATATTCATTTGTTTTGACAGTACCTGAACTGTAGATTATTCGTCTTGTCATAACCGATTTGTGTTAGGAGCCCTCTAGAATTCTTCGGAAAGGTTTCCAGAGGTTGCGGAAAGGCTGACGATACGTCGTTCAGTCGGCGTCCAACAGAGACGCCTTAGACAATTCTAAATTAATGATAGATTAGGTGATTTAACCCAACCGGATAATTATAGATTTCTTTACTGTTTTAGGATATTTTCAGGAGTTCTTAGACTCTTAGTCTCACACATAAGCCTATAAATATCCTTGTTTACTGTAACGAAACTAACATTGGAAGCTAAACTCTGCACACTTGTAGATTTTCTGTTTTTTGCTCTCAGTTCAAGTGTAGGACAGTTTTGGAAGACTAAGAAAAGGTTAAAAAGTCTCCACCAAGCGTTTAAGCATCAAATCTGTCAACAATAAGTTTATTCAAGATACATTTTTTGTCTCAGTCAACAAAGTAATTTCCAGAAGAACAGTTACTAAATACTCTCAGGTTTGAAACTGTCAGCGAGATGGGTTTGAATTACACTATTTTATCCTAAAGGCTTCTCAGATATGAGTAAGACAGTACTTTTAAATATTTTATTTTCTCAAATACTGAAGATTGGTGCCCAATAACTTTCAAAATTATAGTCACGTATCTTATTAATTCACTGTTTCTTTACCATAATTTAGATCACAAAATTTTACCATGTGTCTTTAGATTTAATTTTCGGTTAATTCACCATCAACATTTATGTAAGATAATTTTTGAAAATACAGAAGGTAGCTTAATCATTTCAATTTTCAAAGATTCAATATGTTTATAAAGCACTATGAATGTTAAGATCGAATGTCATATTTTATTTGATCGAAGTTAACTTGTTCGTTCTGGAACAGTATAAGCGTTAAAATTTCTGTATTTTTTTATGACTTATTCTATCATGTCACTACTTATTTACTGGTTTTATGTGTTCGTATATTACGATATAGTGATCAATCACTGACATGATAAATGAATTTCAGAACAGATAATTTTAGAATAACTCTTAGTCAATCGTTAGTGTAATGAGTAAATGGTACAGTGAATATTCAAATAAACTACAGCATTTGACCAGTTTACACATACAGATTGCTGGGTAGGTTTTATGAAAGTTTTATTTGTACTTAAAGTACTTTAAGGTTACTTTCACCACCAAAGTGTCTTGATCAAAAGTCGAGATGCTCAGCTGTTAAATAAACAGTATTGCTATGATTTCTATAAAATACTAGGGTAATAAACTATTGCCGGCATCAAGAATACCAAAGACATAAATAGTTGAAAATATTTATAGTTTTAGTTGATGTATAGATAATTGACTGGGTCCTCAGCTTTCCTGATGTAATCCTCTTTATCCATTCTTTTTAGTCCCTTGTTACGTTGTTGATAATTTAAATGCATTATTCAAAAAATTATTCTGTTGATTATGTATATGGATATTGATTTCTTTTTAAACAGACGTTACTCATAATTTATCCGGTGATCAAACTAATCAACCCAGTTTCAAATCCCCTTTTCATCAATCCAAACAGGTTAGTGAATAGGCTTATGTTACTAATTTCGTAATTTGTCATCACCAGTGGTCAAACCTTCTAAGGAATTATTTGATTGATAAATAATCAATTGTGAGAAGTATACGTATCACATAACGTCATATCTTTTGCCGAAATACTTAATTTTAACCTAAATTCCACTTTGTTAATAAAAGAAGTCATTAATGATTTATTTATAATCCAGTGATTTGTCATGCATTCATGTCAGCCTCCTACTTTATCTATAACTAATTTAGATAGATGTGTGTTAAAAGCTTTCAAGATTAAAACAAATCTAATATCGGGTACACTTAAGTTTTTAGTGATCGTTGGACTAGTGTTATTTCACTGAAATATCTTATATTTTTGACAGTGTTTTTATTACGTGGTTAATGTAATACCGGTTTTTCTGATGTTTAGTGTTAATGTACGCATTAAAAGTGTAGAATATCTTATAAAAAGTTGACGGTTTTTATTTTACAAAATGGATGATCATTAAAAGATTTAGGAGGAGATTCTATCGGTGAAAATCTTGACGTTTAAACTTTAAATAAACCCAACGTTTCGCTTAGAAGTCTGATCCAAACTTTTTCAAGGGAAATAATCAAGCATCAAAACTAACGAATATAAGTACATGGTTCACAGGTTAACTTTATATTGAACAAATCGTCGCGTAATATCATGAATTGATTTAATTTAGACACTAATACTGTTGGATGGTGGCTCAACAGTTTAAAGGTTAAGGTTCGCGCACGGGATCGAAGGTCCTGGATTTTATTCCTGAAAGCGCGGTCGTGGGTGATTAGAAAACATTCGTAGTATACCTCTACAAATTGATATCTGGACAAACATATACTTAAAATATGAGTATTCACGATCTTCCTGTTTTAGTGATCATAGGAATCAATCTTGTAAAAATTCTTCCAGTGCAGCGAATCGGTTTGGTTACTAATCACATACTTGGGCACAATATTTTTCGGTTCTATTTCTTTGCGCATAAATCAACACTAATATATATTTTCTTAATTATAATATTTAGTTTTTTTTTTAAATCTTCATTTTGCAGATATCTCTCCTTGAGCTTTCGAAAGATTGGAATCAATGTGAAGCTGGTTTTCACGTTTTAGTTGAGGAGTTATTCAGATTTTGGCAACATTATCAACCAGGCTGGTCATACAAGTAACGTTTTGATTGACTATGTATTTTTCTTTCTTTCTGAATATGTGTGTGTAGTTTGTAAACATTGAAAAATTTTGTAGTTATGTGAATAAATAATATGAGATTGTATGAATCATATGGGAATATAATTCGACATACATTTTTGATATACCCTATGGTGTTAATTAAATGATTATTACTTCTTTATTCTTTTCTTTGTGGATAAAATAAATATTTACATATCAAGCTAAGAAATATACAATTTAATGAATACCATTTTCCAAATTCCTCCACTTTATGTTATTCTAATTTGATTATCACACACTGTCATCGGTTAGGATATAGTTCACGTCAGACTTGTTCACAACTTCCCAATATAAATTTTGGACAATTAATCTCATAGCAAATGATTAATGACAAGCTTCATTGTCATTCAGTTTGGCGTTTGAAAAAGGTTGTATAGTTCACATAGATATTATACTTTAGATATGATATCATTTAGATTCAATTTAATGAATTACAAAGAAAATACTACTCATTATTTATAAGTATACTATTTTGTGCTATTTGAAGAAATTCATGACAGTTATGATGGATTCCGCTTTCATAAGTTCGGATTTTGTATACTACTTATTAATGTATTTATTATAAGTATTCAATCACTTGTCTGAAAGTTAATTAAATAGCCTTTGGAAACTTATTCGCAACTATTTTTTTCACATGAATATTTTCTCACAGTTCGGTAAAAACATTTCCCTTCATTCTGTCATTTATTATTTGTATTTGTTAATTTATTGCTTTCTTATTAAATTAACTTCCGAATCTGATGTAATAATAAATAGTCAATTCAACATAATATCCACTCATGTTTATGTATATCAAAGTCTACTAAAGCTGCTTTCATGGTATTAGTAAGATTATTATTATTATTGTTATTATGGCAGTGTTAGTCATGATAGATACAACGTTAGTAGATATCATTCATATCTTTAAATAAATATGAACATATGTATACTGTATTGCCTAAAAGATTATGAGTTTCTACTAATTTGTCAATCATTTGGTTAGTTTAAGATCATTACGTTGATAATAATAATAATAATAATAATAATAATAATAATAATAATAATAATAAGAAGAAGAAGAAGAAGAAGAAGAAGAAGAAGAAGAAGAAGAAGAAGAAGAAGAAGCGAGTCGGTAGACTATTCCTACTCCATACTATAAAGTATAACTGACATTTTAATTTTTGACGAGTAAACATTAACCTATCAGACAATTTTATATCAGATGTGATACATTCATTATATATACCTCACAAATCATCACTGTCTAAAGAACAACCGAAAACAATGGAGCGGATTTCATTCAAATGCAACCTACGAAAACTGTTTATACTTTTCTTTTGGTCAAAGGTTTAATTGTGTTGGAAACTGTCAATCTTTGCACAGAATAACTAAAATTGATCACTTAAAATTGTTGTTTATTGTTATAGAATATTTTTTCATATTATGTGTGTATAACAGTGATCAGATGAAATAGCAAAATGTTCGATGTAATACTGAAACATTTAGTCATGGGATCGTTTCAAAGTTCAATCGTCTTCGATTACATGAAACCACTGGCTAGTCGAGTTTGTTTTGTTCTCTAATATTTTACACACGCACATCGTGATTTGAATATATGTTATAATTTGTCTATACTTCAACCGTAATTGCATGTTTTAACTGGACACCAGGCTGTACACTGCGTCAAATCTCAAATAAAATTACTTATTAATTGGTATCAGACAGCACCCAGTTTGGGCCAATCGAATTGTGTTTTAAGTCATTCAAACTCTTTTTTGTTAGCCCAATGACGCCTTATGGTTATTAAGTTCACATTTAACTCCGACGATCATTAATTTGCAGTTAAAGGGATGGACCTTATGTTTAATACACGTGCATGGTGTGTGTCGTACAACAATGTGGTCGGAGACTTTTGTTAATAATGCTCAGAATTGCTCACAATGACGCACATATATTTTCTATTCGATCACAAGTTTCGGTATTCTCCTAGATATACCTTTGCATTCTCTCTTTTCGAACCACAACGTTCAGTCTTTCTCATCATTGTTACTATATATATACTATGGTTTGAGTCGAAGATGACTGAAGGTGTTGTAAAATGGGATTATTCTTAATATTAAAATTCTATGGACTTTGTTTTACTATCTGTTGTAAGACCAAAATAATTTTAACAACCTGCATTTTCGAATATTTCCAGACTGATTTATACTGAGGCTCCCAATTTATATGCTTGTGAAATGTTACGTGCTGTTTTGTATACCGACATGAAGACATCAAGTGATATCGAGATTTCCATTCCTGTAAGTCTTTTTTGTTTTGAGAGTGTATAATTTCTAGTAGAAATATTGTCCCCGTAAATTTCGATTAAAAATGCTTGAATTAATATGAAAACTGTTTTATGTGATTTAAAGTTTTATTCTTTACTGACCTCAGTTTAGCATCAGTTTAGAATGATAAATTACCGTATTACGTGCGCCTTTCAACATCAAATTGTGCATAAGTCTGTTTGTTTGTGGGATCCCATCTTTCAGTCTTCTTTATAAAAGAGTCAATGATAGTTTTAACTGGTTAATATTAGATGATATGGGGTTGTTAGTGTAAATGTATACATTTCACATAATGCTAATTTTTCACTCTAGTAGATGTTATTGAATTCATCTGGTCTATATTATGTATTGGATTACAACAACAGTAATGAAAATTTCTTCAATATTATCATTTAATTTTTATGAAAATCCATAAGTTTTAAACAATTTAGTAAGAAAATGCATAGGTTACTTGTAAGTAGTATGTTTGTAGAGTACAAAACTAAATAGGTTTTTATTATTATCTGCCGTTAACTAATGATGGTGCTGATTAGTATCTCATGACTTACTATGATCTGTAACTTGACTTATTCATTTGCTCGATCTCATGACATTGAAATAAGTAAGGAAAAGAGATTGATTATAATAAAACGAATATATTTCGGGAAAATATTTGAGAATAATTTATTTTACAGTTGATTTAATCTATTTTCCTAATTTCATCATACAAATATCCATCTGTGTTAATTTCATTTTACAAAATACTATGTGAAGAGAAAATCATATATAGTTCTTGCATTCATTAGCGTTATCTCTTCATTTTAACTGAAGTAGTGTTGATATTTTATCAGTCAATATATTAATATGTAAATTTACTAAATGTATCACTATCGGATGTATAGATGTACAAATACTTATTGAACCAAGCATGATTCTTTTTATTTTTCTAGCTTATTGTCACTATGTGTTACTAATATGTATCAACAATCCTCATACCAAACTGACTACTTCAGTATTATTATTATCATTATGGCATCTCCGTTTTTTCGTCAATACCCAGTTATTCCGAATGGTTGGTTAGTAGTGAAAATAGTTGTTTCTCAACTATGAAGGTTACATCTTTCAATAAATCTTCCTTTTCAATTTTCAATACCTGAGTAGATTGAGAATATTCTTAACACGAAATAATATTGTGAACTTGTTACGTTTTGTTTTTTAAGGAATTAACTTAGCTGTTTTTTTAGACAACCTTTTGCTCCAGGCTATATCTCTTTCCTCCTTTGTAAACATTATTCTAACCGAACTATTCATTATTAGATTTTTAGTTCTTTACACTGCTTATTTTATAGTTGTATTGTGGTGAAACGTAAATACTCATTATTTTGTCGATTAAAACTTTTCGATATTATATCACTGATAGATATCTTCATGAATATTGAAGTTTCGAACAATTATGTAGATTTATTTGATAGTGTAATACTTTCGCAGACATCATACATTGTTTATATATATATTGTGGCTTATCGGTTACGAGATGGATGATTCAACGTAATTATTTACAGCAACCAACCAGATTCCAGGTTAACAAAAGAAAATTTTAGTCTATTGTAGATGAGAAACTCTGCTAGCTCACTTCTTCTTGAAGTATGTACTAATCAATTCATCTGAAAAAAAAAACAAAAGCTTCATAACTGAACCATCCAGATTATACAATTAAATACTTATTGAAATTGTTATCAACTGTTAGTTTGTTCCACGAAATAATGGTTATCCTTTTATCACCTCTTAAACTTACAATTTATCATTCTACAATATCTTTCTATCACATAGATTCATAAATAAATAAATCTGAAAAAGACTATATTCCTTACTTTTTCTATGAATTGAAATTTATCTTTCTATTTCTTGTTTCTTTGTTTTACATCACGAACTATGCCTTATAATGTCGTAACATTATTGCTGTTTTTTTTAAATTTATTTTTCTCTTTCTTGTCAAAATAATTTTTTCTCTTCTTAAAAATAATTATATAACTAAAAATTAATTTATTACTGTACACTTGTTAGTAGTAGATGATATGATATAAATCAATTAGTGTAATATTCATTATCTTTGTAATGATTTTTGTATCTTTATTGAATATGATTAAATGGGTTGTTCACTTTACAATCTGATAGTTTCGGTCGAATTCAATTATTATTATTATTATTATTATAAATTGTCTGTGAGAATAAGATAAAAGGTTAACATTGAAAAGATGAGATACTGTTATACTATCTTATTGAAATACCAATTACTTTCATTGAGCAAATATTAGATCGTATAGTTTCCTATTTTATGGTTATTATCAATCGAAAGTCTATGGTATTTTAGTCAGATAAAGTATCATACAAAATCATATATATTAATGTTTAGTTTTTTTTTTACTTTATGTACATATAAAGATGTATCTTTTTTGCTTGTAATTATTGTGAAAAATGATGTATATGTTTGTGTTATTCGGATTTTTTTACTAGGGCGTCTATCGTTGAGGTGTCTATCAACTCAGTTAATACTTATTACCTATAATCGTTTACTTTCTTTGTTTTTTATGTGACTAATAATCCTATTCCCAAAAATACGACCATCTATTTTCTTTTCTTCTCCCAAATTTTACAGCTTGCTTCAGTCTCTTTAATGGGCGATTGGATTTCAAGACGAATTATAACCAAACTTAAGAAAAGTGATAAAATCAATAAAGATTGCGAATCATATCCTTATATGGTAATTATTTTTGTTGTTATGCGATTTGTCTTTTTGGTGTTAATGTGTTGTTCTGATTTCAAATAATGATTTTTGTCCACTATCGGTTGAGGTTTTTGAATACATTATCAAAAAAAATTATAATGAGCGTACATTGTTCCTCATGTAGTAAATGCTACTAACATTATTGCTTGTAAGTAGTATGTGGCAGAATATGGTGTGCAAGTTGTTATAGTCGACGGACGGAGAGAAGAGTTTCAGTACATCAAAAAGCATGGTAAAGACAGAAGCTTGGAGATTAGAAAAGAAGAGAATATAGAATCAACTGGATCGCAGAACACCCCGCAAATGTAAATTGATGACTGAAGGGTGGATGTACAGACTACATGAACACTGTAATTCCCTTAAATTAACATCACTTCTACCCAGTGGATACAATATACAAAAACGTTTCATATTATTTGCTTAGATCAAGTCCTTTTTGGATGGTTCGAATTACTGAACTGGGATTCAGTGGTTCATTTTTTTCCTCTAGACTCATTATATTGTTGCATGACTAGATGATCTTGCATCAGTGATCTAAATTCTGTTAATTAAGTTAAAAGAGATCTATAGTCTAATATTTTCCTATTCTATTGAACAAATAAACAATTGAAGCATCGGTGATGATTTTAGTAATTGTTAGTTACTATAAACATTTCTTGTCAGTATTGCTATAATACTGGTACTAAGAACATTTTATCTATGAACCGTATTTACTATTTAGAAACAACCATTTGGTTTGAACTTGTAACAAGAATGATATATAACGCTGAACTACAATCATATTGAACAACAAGAAGAAGATTCCTCTGTTTTTCCAATTGGAATCAATAGATTTTACTGATTCACTGGTCTACATGATTAACAATAATGACATATAACTGTTAAAAATCAACAGTTGTTGGAGTTATTACGAAAAAAATTGTAATAATCATGTGATTTGATTTTTAGTCTACATTATGTATTTACAGCAACTGTTCAATCCAACATGGATTCATCATATGCATATTCGTCAATATTAGAACGAATAAGTTGACAAAAATTGGGCGCCGAGTATAGAGAAGTCATTATATGTGAAAATTATATTTGAAATAATCTTAGCGATTGGAATTTAAAGAAGTCCAAAGTTTTGTCCAGCAAATTGTTCTGGATATATAATGGATTCATTAGTTTGAACTGCTAAAAATTACTAAAAAACTGACGAAATAAATGTCCACTGTTCGCATAAATTGACTTCTACTTCTGAGTTTAGAGGATGATCATTGAGAAATAGCGATAAATTATGAATTTCTTTTTTTAAAATGCCAGTTTATAATGATCACGAGTGTATTTCTTTGTGCCTAGTAACATAGTTTGTTTCATATATTTATCATGCGTAAATCTTTAAGGATGACTGATTCTCAAATACAAATTATCATTATCATTATTTGAACACATAAATATTGGTACAAAGAGGCACCGAATACATATGTGCCTCACAAGTCACTTGATTTTTATGTGGTCTGTGATACCGTCCGGATGCTCAGACCGAAGCAGGTGGTTTTTAGGGGGGGGGGCTTCGACCTGAAGGTCCGATCCAAAGGGTAGTGGGGCAACGTCAGGAGATGCAGTCCCATGGTAGCTCGTGACTAATAATTGGTTCATACCTCATTTGTTTCCCCAGGATCCTAGATTCCATGTGTACTATTGGCTTGGAATCAGGGTTTTCGAACTCCCGTACATGGATCCTTGATATCTACCAACACAGTTAAAGTTTCGGACATTCGGTTTTCGTTCTCTTAATTTCGTAAACAGCGCTTCCGCCGCAAGAAGGCAGTGAGTAGGACTTTCCTAGTAGTGGCTGAATACGCGTGGTCGTATGAGAGTATTTTGAGAAGTAGAGCTGACTCTCCTCACCCTCGGTGATTATTCGTGTCATCGAAACTGCGATCTACACAATTTTTTTAAATTTCAAACTTATTGCAGCATCCATGTTCTCCAGTAACAAGGTTTCTCAAAAGTATTTGTACTTTCGTGGCATCATCTACCTTTCCAGTATTACCATGGGACACATTTTCATATTATTCAAATCATGAATCAAACTTGACACCAGTCAAACTGCCTAATTAAATTTCATGAATTAAATTTCTAAGTAAGACTATATGAGTAGATACCCGGAACTCATCAGATGCAAACAATAGCTAAGATATAAAAGCCTTTTGTGTAAAAACTTTAGTAATTATCAACTGAACCCAAATAAATAATCTTATTTTCATACTCTTATAATTCTTTCACTTGTTCAAAGGAAATAGTCACTCTGAATTCTTTGTGTCATCAATTATTATATCTATTATTGGAAAAGTTTACGGAACTGACTTGGTTAACCATTTCTACGTTTTCGCACAAAGCGAGAAGGAGAATATTTAAAGAATATGGTTAATTCATTGTGTTTCGTTGCTTTCTATTTGGGTACATGCAGTCTCATATGTTTAAAAACCTAAAACAAATCAGATGGTGAAAATACGATTGACGCTCGATTAGCGAAATTAACCTCATCATAAAAGTGAAAAGCTATAGTTACCAGAGAATTTCGAGTTTTAGAAGACACTGGAATTAGAAATCCTTTGAGCGCACCAACTGATCATGTTGATGTATAAAATCTAATGGGAGTTATTAGTGGCCCGAGTTCGTTGATGTATTAGAAGCACCTTTCAACGCCTCAACAGTTATCTGTAACAACCTTTAAAATCTCTTAGCGGATATTTCTTGTATCAAAATCCTAATGTATAACATATAATTGAATCATTCTAAATGATGATATTGTTCCTGTCTTACTGATTTATTTTCATTTAAATACCTTTATATACTCTGACCACGCCCTAATACGGGCACGCATCTGCTTGCGCCTCACTGGACGCAAAAAAGCCACATTAAAAAGACCCGTTAGAACTGAGTTGAGTAACGAGAAAACCAAAAGTAGGTTCCAGGAACAGCTGAGGTCACACTTAGGTAGTTGTGAAGACGAGGCTGACCCAGATGTTGCTTGGAAGGGCATACAATCAGCTGTGGAAACAGCAGTGACATCTATTAGTGACTTAAACCACAGAGTTGCAAGGAACCAGTGGAATTCTTCAAGGTCTGTCACACTGATGGATTCTCGCAAACTCGTCCCATCAGGTTCTGAACATGATGAAGAGCGAAAACAAATCAGATCTAGGTTAAGAAAAAGTCTAAAGAACGACCGTGAGCAGTGGTGGTCAACGAAAGCAAAAGAGATGGAAAAGGCGGCGACTATAGGGAACACAAGACAGCTTTACAGACTAATAAAAGAAACTGGAATTAATAAGTCAAGTGTAAGTGAGATTATTTCGGAAAAAGATGATACTCTCATCTGCTCCCAGTCCAGACGTTTAGAACGATGGGCGGAACATTTCAGAGAACAGTTCAGCTGGCCTTCAGCTACTCTACAACTACCCTCCATTCCCAGACAATGTGAATGGAACATTGAAGTAGGTCCCCCGACTCTTGCTGAAGTTCAAAAGGCTATAGTTAATCTGGAACGAAGAAGGGCAGCTGGTCCAGATGGTTTGGATCCAGAGGTCTTTAAGGATGGTGGTCCAATTTTAGCGATTAAGTTGACTAATATTTTAGCTAAGATCTGGGAATTAGACTTTATCCCATCTGACTGGTCGCAATCACTTATCGTCCCAATATATAAGACAGGGCCAAAATCATCCTGTGACAACCACAGAGGGATTAGTTTAACTAATATAATATCTAAAATACTAGCCTCGATAATTATCAGACGCCTAACTAAGACTCGTGAACTGCAAACACGAGAGAACCAAGCTGGCTTCAGACCTGGTCGTGGCTGCTTCGACCACATATTCACCATTCGTCAGGTTCTAGAACACAGGCATACCTATCGGCGTCCGACGATGGTGGTCTTTCTTGACTTAAAAGCAGCATTTGACTCGGTAGACCGCGAGACTCTGTGGCAGTGTCTGTCATTGAAAGGCGTACCTCAGAAGTACATAAACCTTGTGAAGGCTCTTTACTCGAACACTACTAGTCGAGTCAGAGCTTATGGCGAACTGTCATCTACTTTTGCAACCTCAAGTGGTGTCCGTCAAGGCTGTCCACTTTCTCCATTTTTGTTTAACTTCATCATAGACCTATTGATGGGAATAACACTCTCGTCGACTGAATTCTCGGGTATTGATCTCCTTCCAGGAGGTCCACTTATCGACTTAGAATACGCAGATGACATAGTCCTGTTTGGTGAAGACGCTGACAAAATGCAGAGTCTTCTGGTAGCACTGAGCAACAATGCCAGGATGTTTGGAATGCGCTTCTCTCCCTCTAAATGCAAGTTGTTGCTTCAGGACTGGTCTCCGTCAACACCTGAACTAAGGATAGGGAGTGAAGTAGTTGAACGCGTTGACAACTTCACTTATCTTGGAAGTCTGATCAGCCCTAATGGGTTGCTGCCTGAGGAAATCTCAGCACGGATTCGAAAAGCTCGTTTGGCTTTTGCCAACTTACGTCACCTTTGGCGAAGGCGAGATATCCGTCTATCAATAACAGGACGAGTATACTGCGCGGCAGTTCGTTCTGTTTTAATTTACGGCAGCGAAACATGGCCCTTAAGAGTAGAAGACACACGTAAGCTACTAGTATTTGACCACAGATGCCTTAGAAATATTGCTGGCGTCTGCTGGGATCACCGGGTAAGTAATAGTGAGGTTAGACACTGGGTATTAGGGAATGATGGCAAATCAGTTGATGAGGTTGTGAATCTTCATCGACTGAGATGGTTGGGCCACGTGTTACGTATGCCTGAACACCGATTACCACGACGTGCAATGCTAACCGGTGTTGGAGATGGTTGGAAGAAAGTTAGGGGCGGCCAAACCAAAACGTGGCATCAGTACTTGAAGTCACTTACTTGTGGTCTAAGCCATGTTGGTAGATGCAGACTACTTGTTTGGGGTCTGTGTTACTATTCTCACCAATGGTTGGAGACTTTTGGTGACATTGCTCAGAATCGATCACAATGGTGCAGGTGTATACACTCCCTGTCTTCCCTTAAATTAAGAGACTAAAATCACTTCATATCTTTCTTTCTACGAACTAATTCTTTCTTCCTATACTATATCCTTATTGCAACCTTTGACCTAACCACTCCTATGAATCCGCTGTTCATCTTGCTGTGCTAATGAGGTATGGCAACCTGGACCGATGCACATATGTGCCTGGTCCTACGTTGTAGCTGACTGACTGACTGACTTCAATTACCATGTCACCAAATTGTGTGAATATTGCATTCCATAGTTTTGAAACTCGTAATTCAAGTTTTCAAACCATAACTAATCGAATCGCTAGACATAGTTGACAAATTGTTTTATGTAAAGTAAGTTTCTATCATTTTTTCTTTGTGAAATCAGTATCTTAGTTGCTGTCAGCAAACATTTTGTGCTTTTTTTTCACTATGTTCATGTAGGTGTTCATGAATGCATGGAACTTTCAATGTTTATTGGATTCATTTAAACAAATAGGGTATATGGACGAGTATTCATCTGTAAATATGGATTGAGTTATCTTCGTAATTTCTATCATAATTAATGTTTTTATTTCGTAAGAAAAATAACTGTAGGGGGTTTACATTCTTTGTATACAATAATCTGTGTATTATGTACCTTCTTTTGTAAATGTGTGGTATTTGAAATAAACGAGTACTTTTCACAATATCTTCTGTCGAAAGAATTCAGTGTTAGATTAGTTTGATTAGGTCATTTGTTGCGAGGGGGAGTAAACAACACGTACTTTACCATTTCTGGCAACAGTAATCAAATAAACTAATGTTAGTAATAGGAGTATTCTGACGAGAGTAGATGCAAAACAATTTGTTATACATAATTCACAAATAAACACAGCCGAAAACACTTGAAAGTAATATTTATTTTCAATTTTGTCCTTATCTTGAGTGTGCAGTAAAATTTAAGCTTGATTGATAGATTATACAATAATTATTGAACCAGACTGTACAAACAAAACTGTCCTATTTTAAGATATTACCAGGAGGCAATAACCATTGAAAAAAAACTAGTAACTTTGGAGCACTTAGTTGCTTTAATGTATTTCAGTACAACATAAAAAACGATTTATTTCAATCATGTAAATACTTGACATGTAAGTACATTTGCACCAATGAGACCGATTTTCACCCGTTACGTAATCTCTCCAACGACTGGTTATGATTATAAGGCTGACATTAACCACCTAGTCGACACCTGTCTACAAAGTCCAAATTACAGGTTCGTAACTTTATCGACTGATGGCATATCTTGATTACATAGAATTACCTTTCATTTTACTCATATATATAACCAGCCTTGGATGTGAAGGATTTTTTGTTGTTGAGCGTTTTTTTACAAATATCTTAACCGACTCCCAATCAACCGACTTATCACTGTATGTTGCATCCAATCTTCTACTGTTCTGCTTGTAGCATATGCAGTAAAAGATACCTAATATTGTTAACTACGTACCTGAAAATCAATACATTACTATATTCATAGTTTGTTAATGCTAATCAATTTCTTGCCATTGATGAGTTTGACTATCGAGAGTTTTATTGTACCGTTCACATGTATACTTGCGTATCTAGGATACTGTTACATGACACTCATTAATTGTCGTATCTACGTAAGTGAACAGGCTGGATATTCATAGTTTATTTTAGTAGAACTGGTAATAAAAGATTGTTAGACGAAGACAAGAAATGCAATACCATTAATTACATTTTTAACTGATTAATAGATACATTTCTCTGATACTCAATGACTTTACTACTAAAATCATTGATTTTAACATCATGTGTTTTACGTCTTCTCCATTATGTGTTATTAATTCCGACAAACATTAGTTGGATCACAACCTAATCTTGAATAATTTATCTCAGTGAAACGTATTGAATCACCATAGATTGCCAGCTTTATGTACTCAAGAGTGGTGAGGTGTATTATCCCTTGTGATGCATCTATGAAGTCTTGTAAGTCAAACTT